CCTTCAGCTTCTGGTTCTGCAGAGAGGCCTCTTCCAGCGGGGTCAGCTCCCTGTGGGAATGGCCTCAGCACCCACCACAGGGCATGGGACACATCAGGGTCCCAGCCCACCCCACGGCCCCCTAAGCATGTGTAGGGCAGTCACCAGTCCTTGTGTCCCAGCCCATGCCAGCTCCCTATGTCCCATCCCTCTGTGTCCAAGCCCCCAGGTCCCACCCTGTGTCCCAACACCCCCTGTCCCAGTCCCCCGTGTCTGAGCCCCTCATGTCCCACCCCATGTCTCAGCCCACACCACCCTCCCTGTCCCACCCCCCTGTTCCACCCCCCGTACTTCCGAGCGCTCTGTGCCTCCGCAATCTGCAGCTTCTGGAAGATCTCCGGGGGCAGGAAGGGCGAGAGCTTCCCCCCCTCGTCTGAGCAGACCCGGCGGTGCCTGGGCAGGGGGGCAGGGCCCCCTCCCCTCTCCTGCACAGCCGGTTTCACCTGGGCTTTCCCTGGGGAGGGGGACAGGACAGGTCAGCTGTGCCCCTGTCCTGAGGGAGACCCAGCTCCCCAAAATGGGACCCCCCATCACATCACTCACCCAGCACTGCTGCAATGGATTTGACCCTCTCCAGGCACTGCTCTGCCAGCTTCAGCAACTTCGGGGTGTCGGGTGTGACACCCTCACTGCTCTCTGTGGGGAGGGGAGTGTCAGGGTCCCACCCCCTGCCCCTCCTTGATTTGGGGGAGGGCCCGGGGGGTCGGGGGTCCTGCCCTACCTGTCCCCACCGCCTCTTCCTGCAGGGCCTGCATGATGAGGGTGATGCTCTTCAGGTATTCCATGTAGGCCTCCTACAAAGTGAGGGCTCAGCTGGAACCCCCGGGACCATCCTGGGACTCCCCCGGGACCCCTGGCCCTGCTGGCAGCAGGGAGGTGTCCGGGGGGGCACCCGTGAGACCCTCACCACCCGGATCGGGCCCTCCCCGGGGATGTCGGGGCTCCGGGAGGGGCGGGGGGCAGCCCAGGGATCTCCAGACCCCGCAGCCTGTCCGGGGGTGGGGGGAGCTCGGGGCACTCTATGGCCTCCGGGGGACCCCAGGGCCGGGGCGGCCAAACGGGAGGCTGGGGGAGCCCGAGGATGCGGGAGGATCCCGCGGATGCGGGGACACACCGGGGATGCGGGACGAGCACTGGGGCGAACCCCGGGGATGCGGTGCGAGACCGGGGATGTGGGGGGAGACGGGGGATGCAGCTCCAGGGATGCGTGGGGAGCCCGGGGGTGCAGGAGGAGCCGCAGGGTGCGGGTGAGCCCGGAGAGGTGGGAGGTGAGGCCAGGGATGACCCCCGGAGGTGCGGGAGGATCCTGGGGGCGCAGCCCTGGGGGTGCAGCCGAGCCCGGGGGTCCCTCCCCGCCCGTCCCTGCGCTTACCCGTGTCCGCCCGGCGCTGTCCATGCCCAGGGCCCCGCTGGCCGTCCTCATGGCTCCCTGCAGCCCGCGGCCCCCCCGGCCCGGCGCGGGCCCCTCGCCGCCCCCCGGCGCGGCCATGGCCGCGGGGCCGCCCGGAACGGCGCGCTGGGGCCGCGGGCGCGCCCGGAGTGCTGTGGGACGGACCGCGCGGCGGGTCCCCCCGTCCGGCGGGGGCGCTGCGGGCGGGCGGAGCCCCGGGCCCGGCGGGGACGATGAAGCGCGATCGGCGCGGGCGGTTCCTGGCGGCCCCGGGCGGCCCCCGGGCCCCCCCCGCGCCCCGCCGAGCCCCCGGCACCGCCGCCCGCGCCGCCGAGCCCGCCGCACCCCCCGAGCCACCCGCGGCCGCCGCCTGCGCCCCGGAGGCAGGTGAGGCCCGGGCGCGGGGAGCGGGGCGGGGGAAGCGGGGCCACGGCCGGCGCCGCTGCCCTGGGACCGGAGCGGCTGCGGGGCCTCCGTCGGGACCAGCCGCGTACCGGGGCGGACTGCAGGGTCCGCGGGGGCCGGGCACGGGCGAGCCGTCGGTGTGGCGGGGCTGCCCCCGCACCGCCGGGGCAGACCCCCGGACCCGGGGCGCGGTGCCGAGCGCGCGGCGGGGCAGAATTTGCCTGTTTGTGCGGAATTTCTTCTCCTATGAAGCACCGAGGGTGCCGGTGCCGGTAACGACGAGGTAAGGAGGGGTTCGGCAGACGGGGAGGATGAGCGGGGGAACCCCCTGCCATCCCGGAGGACTCGGCCGCTGCCTGCCCCGGTTTAGGGGCGACCGGGACCGTCTTGCCATCCCGGTTTATGGGCGACCGGAACCCTCCCGCCATCACAGTTTGGGGTTTGGAGGTGACCGGGACCCTCCCGCCACCCTGGTTTGGGGGTGGCTGATATCCGGGCACATTGCGGCTGGGGCAGGAGATAACTGGGATCTCAGACGGCTCCGTTGGGTGTCTGAGTTGGATCAGGGCCGGAAGGAGGCTGTGCCGGGGGTTTTCCTTGTGCTGGCAGACAGTCGGGGTGCAGCGGAGTGATGGAGAGTATTCCACAGGATGGGAATGCCACAGGTCACTGCACTGGAAGACACTTTGCATCCTGCCCCGCTGCTCTGGGTCAGGAGCTGCGTGTCCCCAGCTCCAGGGCACTATCCAGGGGTTGAGGAACGGGACAGCCAGTGCTGGGATGTCCGAGGGACAGGACACTGGCTGTAAATATTTGGGAGATAAACACCAGGAAAGGGAAAGAACTGCTGAAACCAAGGGATGGCATTGGCAGAGCCCCAGGAACACCACAGTGAGGAGGAGGCTCCTCTACTAGAACACTGGGGCCAGAAAGGCTGATTTTGGGTCAGCTGGTGTGGGAATGGTCAGGGGGAAGGGAGATCTCTTCCTACTTGGATTTTCTGTGCTTTGCTGTAGGCAGGACTTTGGAAGCAGCAGGATGAGGGGAAGGGGAACATCCCACGTGTGTGGGTGCTGTCATCCAGCAGGGATGAGGGGAAGGGGAACATCCTAGGTGTGTCAGTTCTGTCACCCAGCAGAGATGAGGGGAAGGGAGACATCCTGGGTGTGTCGGTGCTGTTCCCCAGCAGTTCGGTCCCTCTCGGCAGGAATCGGCAGAGCCCTGAGCACCGGGTACTGTCGCCTGTGCCACGGGAAGTTCTCCTCCAGGAGCCTGCGCAATGCCTTTGGGAAGGTGCCCGTGGTGGGGGAGAACTCGGAGAAGCAGCGGCGCGTGGACCAGGTGTTCTTCACCGACTTCCAGCGGCTGGTGGGGGTGGCGGTGCGGCAGGACCCGGCGCTGCCGCAGTTCGTCTGCAAGAAATGCCATGCCCAGTTCTACAAGTGCCGCAGCGTCCTCCGCACCTTCATCCAGAGGGTGAACGCCTCGCCCACGGGCCATGCCAGGTCCAAAGGAAAGTAGGTGGCCTTTCTCCCGTCCTGGGAGCAGCACGGTGCTGCACGGTGCTGCGTGGTGCCACGTGGTCCCTCCATGACCCCCCAGCCCCACTGTGCTGCTCTGGTTTTTGCAGGAGCGGCGCGGCCCTGGCACAGCCGGGCACGGAAGGAGGTGCCTCCTGCCTGGGTGAGTGCCTGCTCCTGGAGCTGCTCCCTTTTTCCTTCTGCCATGCCACCAGCTGGGGTTGATGGGTGATGGGGAATGACCATGTGCAGGGCAAGTCTGGTGTCCTTTGACACGGCTGGTTATGGTTCCCCTTCTTCCCTCTGGCCTCCTGGGAGGATCCTCACCTTCCCAAACTGAGCCCAACAGGCACAAGCTCACCTGGGTGTGCAAAGAGCAGGTGGAGCGGGTTTGGGTGGCAGTGCCAGGCCTGTTCCAGCCACTGTTGGACACCGGGGACAATCAGAAATGTACTTTCAGCTGTGAAGTGAAAGATGGAGGAAGGTGGTGGAATCACCGTCCCTGGAGGTCTTTAAGTAAAGACTGGACGTGGCACTCAGTGCTCTGGTCTGGTTGACAAGGTGATGATGGGTCACAGGTTGGACTCAATGATCCTAAAGGTCTTTTCCAATCTCATTGATCCTGGCAGGTGCTGGATCTGCCCCGCTCCAGCCCATCTGGGCGCAGCCCCTTAGAGTGGCTACCACGTGCCTTCTGGGGCAGCCCCGGGGGGAACAGTTCCACATCCCTGTCCCCTCTGTGTCCCCTGCTGCCAATCGCTGTCCCCAGGCCTGACTGTGCTGCCTCTGTCCTGCACAGTTGACCTGATCACGTCCAGCCCGCAGTGCCTGCACAGCCTGGTGACATGGGCGCACACCCACGCCGGGAGCTGCCCCTCGGTGCCCGGCCTGAGGAGTGTCCTGTCTTCCGAGTACTGCGGCATCATCCGCGCTGTGTGGGGCTGCGGGGACGGCCACGACTACATCATGGACACGGCCTCGGACTGCAGCACCGTGCTGGTGGATAACGCCCTGGCTGTCAAACGCGAGTGGAGCAAGGGCACGGCACAACAGCGCTTGACTGACAACGGGGCTGGAGCAGACAATGCCGAGGCTGTTCCTGCTCCCAAAGCTCAGTATGCTCCAGTAAGGACAGCTCCTTGCCAGCAGCCCGCAAACAAAGGGACCACGGCGGTGCCACTGGATGTGGAGGACGAGGCACTGCAGGACAGGGATCCATCCCGCTCGGAGCTGGACAGCACAGCCTCTGTGCGGGAGCAGGCCCTGCCACAGCCCGTGTCCCCGCTGAGCACTGCCACAGGTAAGGGATTTGCCTCCTGATCTCCCTTCTGGCTTCTGGGGAAGGGAAGGGAGCTGGAGATGTGGCCCAGAGAGCGATGGGGGGTGGACCCCCTTCTTGGAGACTGCTGCTCCTCAGGGAGGACGCAGATTCATCTGGGAAGTGCTAACTGCCCGGAGAATTAGCTCCAACTAAGGATGGGTAGGCTGAGTGTTGCAGAAGGGACAGGGTAGCACAGGGTCATACTTCTCTCCCCATGTGCTGCTCCCCTTCTGATGGGGGGGCCAGACCCTGCTGCCGTGCTCTTCCCAGGGACACAGCGTGGAGCAGTTGCTGGTTCTCCAGCACCACCTTTGCCAGGTGTTTCTTTCTGCCAAACCCCAGGAGCCCCTTCTGTCCCCAAAGGAAAACTTCTGCGTGGGCTTGGACTGAGTGAACATGGGTTTGCTGCTGAACTGCCACAAACACCACTTTCATAAGTGAGGAATTAACACCTATTTTGAGTTCCAGAAGTGGGGCTGTGTTTAGCTCCAGTATCCACAGGAGATGTCTGCTGCTGGACACAGGAATGGCAGCTGGGACTTGCTTGGGGACGAGTCTTTCAATTATGGGTGTCACAGGGGGAACCAAAAGCTGCTCCTGGGAGCTGCAGGGCCAAGGCTGTCCTGTCCCAGAGTGCAGGGAGAGCCATCTCTGAGCACACAGACATAGTCTGGTTTAAACAATCATTGATTTGTCATGGAGCATGTGTTTCCTTCCCATGGTGTGACCACGCCGAGCACACCCAGTCGGTTCCTCCTCGGCAGCCGTGGCTCTGCTACTTTTCCTTGTAACGCACCATGTTCTCCTTCATTCCCTAGGACAGTTGAGTGGGAAGCAGGTTCTGTCTGCAACGTCGGATGAGCGGGTAAAAGACGAGTTCAGTGACCTTTCTGAGGGGTGAGAGAAGAGTGGGTTTAAAATAGCCTAAATGTCTTCTTTGCCAGTGTGAACTGCCCCAACTCGCAGAGCTCTTTGTCCACCAGCGCCCCAGCCCTGGTGGCCCCTCAGAACCTGTGCCGGAGTGGCGGCTCTGCCGCGGCCGCCATGGGGCTCCTGGCACTGAGGCTTTGAGCTCCCCTCCTCTGCTGGCAGGGGTTTGCACACACGTGTGCTTCGCGTTTGGTGGCTGCTTCCAGCAGTCCTGGCCCTGTTTCATCCCCTCTCTGATTTGGAGAAGAAGCCGTGCCGGGGGCTCGCTGGTGGGTGGCGCTGCTCCAGCTCCTCAGCCTCGGAGCAATTCCCATGTGGCTGGGGCTGCGGGAGAGCAGTGGGAGCTGGAATGCAGGCACGGGGTGGCACGTGGAGAAACCACCCCTTTTGCTCCCGGGGAGAGCGATTAACTGGGAAGTGGGAGCGGGAGGGAGCTTGGCAGCTCCATAGTCCGTGTGAGCAAAGATTTGGCTCAATCCTTCCAACACAAGTATTTGGAGTGGGGCTGTAAATACACCAATCCAGGCATTCCAAAGGGCCAAGTGCAGAGTGAACTATCAGCTGTCACGTTAAAAGTGCCACAACAATTTATTGCCTCTTTCTTGGCTTTGGGAATTAATTGCTTCTTCCATGGCTTAAAATGTAAAAGAAGGAAAAAGAAAAACCCAAACCCACGTGGCTGCTACATTTGAGGGAACACGGAATGACCTGCAGCTTCATTAACCTGTGCCAGACAATTATGTGACATTCTTGCTCCACAAAATTCCTTCTCCCAGTAGAGGAAGCGGAGCCACATCCCTCACTCATGAATAGATCCTTTCAGTAACAGCCATTTTTTTGTTCTCCTGACAGTGGTTCGATTATTCTTGCAGAGATTTAGTCCTAAAAGGACCTGATTTGAGTCTTTGCTCTCTTGGGGAGAGGCCGGGGAGGACACAGACTGGCTGCCATGCCCCGCGGTGGGGATGGATATGCTGGGAACAGGGAACTGCTGGTGCCCAAGGGCTATCCAGGTGCTGTGTGGGTAAAGGGTTTCTTCTCTCTCTCAGGGACTTCCTGAGTGATGATGAAAGTGAGAAGAGAAACGTGCAATCCTCAGATGACTCCTTTGAGCCTTACCCCGACAAGAAGTAAGGGGCTCCTGGGGTAGGGTGGGGGGGCTGGTGCTCATCCCCACAGGGCCAGCACATCATTCCTTATGGCTTTGTTCCCTACACATTCCTGTGGGGTCACAGTGGTGCCCCCAAGCCCCACATCAGGCTGAAGCTGGGCCACATCCCTGATCCCCAGGCCCAGCACAACCATAGCCTGGTTCGTGTACCTGGGGCTGTGTGTGCTCCTGCTTTGCCAGGTTAAGCATCAACCCGGGGGACACTTGGGTGGGAGGACTAAATTCAAGATCAAGTCTTAAACCCCTGTCCTGATTCCTTTTTGGAGGGTTTCTGGCAAGAAGAGCGACAGCAAAGAAGCAAAGAAAGTGGAAGAGCCCAAAATAAGGAAGAAGCCGGGGCCTAAGCCAGGCTGGAAAAAAAAAATCAAATGTGAACGGTAAGGAGGCTCTGGGAGGCTGGGCCCCAGCCCCATGCCTGCACTGCCTCACACAGCTCTGCTTCCAGGGAGGAGCTGCCCACCATCTACAAGTGTCCTTACCAGGGCTGCACCGCTGTCTACAGAGGGGCTGATGGCATGAAGGTGAGCTGGGGTCTGCTCCCATCCCAAACCAGTAGCTTCCAGTACTATGGAGTCACTTCCCTGTGAGCAGAGGATCCCCAATGGGTTTAATTCCCTGCCTTGCTCTGTGAGAGGCAATGAGCCACTAAAAGCAACCGGCTGGGAATCCCAGCCTCTTCCAGTCTGCTCTGCCTCTCCCTGCTCCTCCTGTCTTGGTAGGCTGCCATTGGTTCACAGCAGCCCTTGGAACAGATTCCACTGTGTCTGGTTAAAGCCCCTGCTGCCAGGGGCAGATTGGGATGCAAATCCTGTTTTTTCACATAGTGGTCTCTGTTTCTGAGGATCCAAGCTTTTCCCTGTCAGAAGCTCTGTCCTTGCTTTGCAGAAACACATCAAGGAGCACCACGAAGAGGTGCGGGAGAGGCCCTGTCCTCACCCGGGCTGCAACAAGGTGTTCATGATCGACAGGTACCTCCAGCGGCACGTCAAGCTCATCCACACAGGTGTGTCCCAGCAGGGGACAGGGCACAAGCACCCAACACCTCGTAGCACAAAGATTGGAGGTGCCATGGGAGGGCTCTGGGAGGGGGGCAGGACTGCCTGTAAACCTGGAACAACCCCTCACGTGGGGGACGCAAGGCAGGGGAGGAATTCAGACTCCAGCAGGGAGTGTGGGCAGCTGCGTGTGTGGTGCATGTTCCAGGAATTGGCAGATTCCATGACTCTCCTGTTCCCCTTGCAGAGGTACGGAACTATATCTGTGATGAGTGTGGGCAGACCTTCAAGCAACGCAAACACCTCTCAGTCCATCAGATGCGGCACTCAGGAGCGAAGCCCCTGCAGTAAGCGATTCCAGCCCTCCCCTCACAGCAAGGGGATCAGAGGGATCAGTCACTGTCCCTCTGGCACAGGAATTCTGGGGTACAAATGCTGCCTGTAGCTGGCAGCATCCTGGCCAAATTGCTTTAAATGGAATAAATGAGGAGAGGGATGGAACACCTCTCCTATGAGGAAAGGCTGAGAGAGCTGGGGATATTTGGCCTGGAGAAGAGAAGGCTCCATAGAGAACTTAAAGCCCCTTCCAGGGCCTAAAGGGGCTCCAAGAGAGCTAGAGAGGGACTTTGGACAAGGGCCTGGAGGAACAGGACAGTGGGGAATGACTTCCCACTGCCAGAGGAAAAATTCTGCCCTGGGAAGGGGGAAGGCCCTGGCACAGGTTGCCCAGAGAAGCTGTGGCTGCCCCATCCCTGGGAGTGTTCAAGGCCAGGTTGGATGGGGCTTGGAGCAACCTGGTCTAGTGGAAGGTGTCCCTGGCCATGGCAGGGGGTGGGACAAGATAAGCTTTAAGGTCCCTTCCCACCCAAACCATTCCAGGATTCTGTGATTCAGCGAAATGTCCATCCCCAACACCTGCTCCAGCTCCAGAGGTCTCCCTGGCTGAGTGAGTCAGGGTCAGATGCTGAGCCCCCTTTTGCCCTGCAGGTGTGAGATCTGTGGGTTCCAGTGCCGCCAGCGCGCGTCCCTCAAGTACCACATGACCAAACACAAGGCCGAGGCGGAGCTGGAGTTCGCCTGTGACCAGTGCGGGAAGCGCTTCGAGAAGGCCCACAACCTTAACGTCCACATGTCCATGGTGCACCCTCTGACCCAGACTCAGGACAAAGCCAAGCCACTGGAGCCAGAGCCCATCCTCCTCCTCACTACTTCAGGGACTCCAGAGAACCAGGTGGTAAAGCCAGAAGTGACTGTGCAGCAGGAACCCACCTGAGAGGGACGGGGCTCCATTCCCAGCCTAGCCCCGTAGAAACCATACGGCAGAGTGGAGATTTAAATCTACGTTTTAGTCTCCCAGAGAACTCCATGGAATTAGCTTCAGCTTGCTCAGAAAAGGCTTGTTCTCATGCTGTGATTTCCATGCTCACGTCTGATTCAGCAGTGTTGTACTAAGAGTGTCTAATCCCAGGGGAAGGGACATTGGCAGCACCCCCTTTGTGTCCCCATCCCCATGCACACATAGAAACCAAGTTGGCCACAACTGTTCCCTGCCTGCACAGAGGTACCCTTGGGGCCTCAAGGGGGACAGAGGACAGTGGGACAACTTTAAGCAGACATTTTGTTTTGGAAAAAAAAAAACAAACAAACCATAATTATGATTCCCAAAGCAAGTCTAAACTGAAATTTGTAACCTACTTTTTATTGTAACAAGAGCTTCATGGTTACGCTTGTAATAAATTATTTACAAAGTAATTTGAAAAAAAAAAAGGCCCAGGTGAGAAAGGTGGCACCTTGTGTGCCCTGGCAGGTGTGGTTGGAGTGTTGTGCTGTGCCAGTGTCTGCTCCTTGCTCAGAACAGTTCCAGCTCTTCCTCCAGCTCCATAGCCACAGCAGGCCTGGAGAAGTGCAGGAGAGTGGCTCCCAGCTCTGGGTCAAGTTCCTCACAGGTGGCCAGGAGCTGGGGAGAGGGCAAAGAGCCAGTTTAGACCTCATGCTTCCTCACAGCCAGTTCCAGTAACACCTCAGCATTTTGCTGCCTCTTGGCCAAGCACAAGCAGAGGAGGGGGAAACTTCAGCACCTGCCCTTGGCTGTATTTGATGTTTCCCTCAGAGACCTAATGGGAATGGCCACGTGAGGGCAGGATTTGTGGGAATTGTGGAGGACATGGCCATGGCACCGGCTGAGCAGCAGGTGTCCTCCCGCACCCAAGCAAGTTAGGGAAGCACAGAGCACTCCCAGGCATGTTAGGGAAGCACAGAGTACTCCCAGGCACGTTAGGGAGGCATGGAGCTTGGCACAGTCAAATCCGCAGCACCAGTGCAGGATCAGTGCCCCAGGAAGGCTGCGCAGGCAGCAGCAGCAGCACTCCCAGCTCCCACACACTGGGAGAAAAGGGAAAACATCTGAATGTACCGGCTGTATGTTCCCAAAGCTCTGGACGAGGCACTGTGGGATGGCTCCCATCAGGAACTGCCGGGCCACGGAGATCACCTCCAAGGGATCCTGCACAATACAAGAGGACTAAAGAACAGAATCAGTTACAGGAGGTTTTAAGGGTAGATTTAGATTGGGTATTAAGAAGAAACTCTTCCCTGTGAGGGTGGTGAGGCCCTGGCACAGGTTGCCCAGAGAAGCCGTGGCTGCCCCATCCCTGGGAGTGTTCAAGGCCAGGTTGGACGGAACTTGGAGCAACCTGGTCTAGTGGTAGGTGTCTCTGCCCCTGGAAGGGGGTGCAACAAGATGGGCTTTGAGGTCCCTTCCCACCCAAACCATTCCAGAATTCTGTATTAAAAGAAAAAAAAGAGAGTCCAAGCTTCACTCACATGCTCTGTGGGGTCTTGCTCAGACTGTGGCAGGACCTCTCCTTCCACAAAGAGCCGTAGCAGCTGGATGTACAAGTCGAGTGCCACGAGGAGGAAGGTCGGCTCTCGCCGGAGGAGCTCCCGGGGGAAGCGAGGGGTGAGGCTGGAGGAGTCACACACAGGCTCTGTTAGCTCTGCTTCCATAGGAGACACACACAGGCACAAGGCAAACACAGCTGCTGCCCTGCCCGTGTCTGGTTTACAAGTCCCATTGTGTGTAGGGCTACCCCAGGAAGAGAAGGCAGCCAGGACACCCCTGTTTGGAGCACAAGGCTGAAGGGAAACTTCTGGAAAAGTTCTTTAGCAAAAGATATGGGGCTCATTAAACACCAATCCTTCTCTGATCGGGTGTTCTCTCCTGCACAGCTCAGGTAAGAGGTAAATATGTGTTCATGGTCAGGCCAGTAGTGCTATCACCTGCACACCAGCTACTGTAGGTGCAAACCATCCCCTACATCCCCCCTCAGACCTCCTGCCCAGCCCAGCAGGACTTTACCTGTAGAATGCCACAGGCAGGAGGCGGATGTGACGGTCTGAGGCCGCGTTGCGCAGGACACAGTATTTCCCAGAGCCTGGAAGGACAGAGAGAGGGATTGAGCACCTTCTGTGGCCTCACCTTCTATACTTCTAGAGCAGCACAGGGGCTGCACCATTTCCTTTCAGCCCACAATAAATACTGGTGCTTGGGAGTGGTGACCAGCAAGAGAAGCAAGTTGTCCCCTCAGGTTTTCTCTACCAGGAGGAACAAAAACAAGTTCAGTCATTCCTGATCATCAGCTGCGTTTCCATATGCTGCAGTAGAAACAGGATTCTTTTTTTAGCTTTTATTCAAGTATTTTTTGTGCTGCTTCCTCTCACAGCTACACACTAACCCAAGCAATGGGCTCACCTGGCCAGCACCAAACCTCACCCTTCCACCCCCTGGGGGACAGGACTCACCTTGCTCTGCTGAATGGAAGAGAAATGGCCAGGATGTGCCTCTCTCTTCTAGGCACTGCAAGATCTCCAGGGACCATTCCAGAGATGTCTGAAAATCCACTCCTTCCTGGGTGTCAGAAAGGAGAAGTCATTTGTCTTGGGCTTTAGTTGCATCAAAGCAGAGGAACCTTCACAAGACTGTACATGAAGTGCTCTGTTAAAGGACATTAAATATTTAGCCCAAGTCATTCTCCTTACTCGGCAGCCTGGACTCCCCCAGGGAATTGGGCAGTGGAGCAAGGCAGTGCCTCTATCACTAAATCAGGCTACCACAGGGCTCAGCTAAGAAGCATTTGTGAGAGAGGGGGAAGCAGCATCATGGAATGCTTTAGGTTGGAAAGGACCTTAAATATCATCCAGTTCCAGGCCCCTGCCATGGGCAGGGACACCTTCCACTAGACCAGGTTGCTCCAAGTCCCATCCAACCTGGATCAATCAACAATCCACTTCACATCCTGCTCCCACCCCACCACACTCCCTGGAGCAGGTTTTGTCCCCTCTAACCTTTCTAGTGACAACATGTTTTGGGATTATTGTGGGGTTTTTTTTCATTACTCATTTTACTTGGATTAACCTCCCAGCTCTGTCTGCTCAAGATGTTTCTCTCCTCCCTGGCTCTTCCTCCAGACTCTCCCACAGGCAGACTGAGACCAAATGGTTACTTTTGCCTTGAATCTGCTCCCTGATCCAATCTGTGAGGTGACTCCACAAATGGTTGCACTTCAAAGCTGAGGTGACAGCAAAGGGACAGAAACAAGCCTTCACAGGCAGGAGGATGCTCAGGGCAGACAGCAGCTGGAAGTACCCTGTCATCTTTGCTCCTCCACTTAATAGCATTAAATCATTTGGAAAGTAATGTTCCTCCTTCCTGGGGACCCCTTCTCCCATGAAGTACCACATTCCAGCCTGAGGAAAAACATCATCTGACAGATGTGAAATGCTGCATAAAAGCTTAGAGAGATATGAGGTTCCTGCGCTACCTGGGAGGTGTAAGGTCTGAACAGGAAACTGCAAATAGTAAATCATTCAGGAAGAGAAATAAAATTAGTGAAAGAGGAGATAGCGTCAGCGAGAGGAAAACACAAGTTTAATCTGATGGGCACAGAAGAGCTTTCAGCAGGCTTGTCTGGGGTGTTGCTGATCCCTTCCTCCTGGCAGAACAAGCTCCCAGCCTTCCCAGTGCTGGTACAAAGCAGTTTTGGGCAGCAAACCAAACTGATCAGACACATGTCATGGGAATTCCCTCGGGGCTGAACTTACCTTTGGTGCTATTTTGGCTGAGATGAGATCCAGGAGTGAGAAGAACAGCAGGGAAACAAGGAGCTGCGAGGAAAGGAGGTGCCTGTTAGTTGTACCTGCAGTGGTGACTCGGAACTTGGCCTTTCCAATAACATTTCATCAGGTACATTCCCAGGCTGGACCTTGATGGACTACAAGCACAGTGTGTTTGACCTGCTGGGACCCCAATTACCCTCAGCCATTCCACAGTTCTCGCTCGCCCTGGCACTCTCCAGGATTTTGGGGGTGAAAGCTGCTGTTACTTCCTGTGTACTAAATGCTGATATCACCTCAATGACAACAGTTTCTGGCTCCAGACCAGTACAAACAGTGGAGGAGTCAATCCCACAGGAAGAGGAGCTACTGTTGTAACCGCTGCCAGGAGCAATAAACCGCCAGAGTAAACATGAGGCCCAGGTTCTGCTTCAGCACTGTTACCTGTGAACCTCTTGACATAGGGACTGTGCCCTAACCCCAACTTTTTCCTGGAAAATCAACAGACAGGACTGCTTGGCAGCAGCCTGGCTTCCTTCTCAGCAGAGCCCTTCAGAGAATTCCCCTCCACTGAGGGTATTGAGCATGGTGAAAGGCAGAGGCATTTCCTGGACCCTCAAGAAATCTGTCCCTGGGATTCTCAGCACAATTTCCCAGAGCCCTTAAAATGCCTGCACTGCTGTCTCACAAACTTCCTGCATCTCCTTAACCTTCCAGCCAAGTTGCCTGAGCTAAAATCCACAGGGACTGCTCTGTTGCTGGAGGGAGAGGGATCCTGGCACAGCATGGACCAAGCTCTCAGTCTCTGCAGGGCCCTCTCCAGCTTCAGTTTTTAATGCCACTGTTGAATAGCCCTCCCTGACTTCAGAGGAGCCAGAGTCTGAGTTAAAAGTTTAAGCTTTGCACAACTTTGCCTTTAGGATAAGAATTTACCAACTGGTAATTTCAGCCACCTTTCATCAATTAACCACCACAAGATTTCCCAACAGGGATTACCAGGGATACAGCACTATCTCAGGACAACTTTTCTCACTTAAAGACCACCTATTTCTAGTTTTTGGGTGTTGGGAAGAGCAGACACATAAAATGCACCCAGCCTTGCCTGCTCTGCATCAGTCCCCAGCCTCTCAAGTGCCTCTCTCCCTCGTCCACGTGGTGACTGCTGTAGGATGGCACTGTGGAGGAAGGCAGCCAAGAGCCAGGGAGGGTCAGAGAGAGGGAAAACAGCTCCTGAAGAAAGGAATCTGGAAAACAAAACAAGCATGTTATGGGTTTGGAGGGAAAAAAGGGGAAAAAATACAGCTGTGAATGAGGAGGAAATCGGGGACTTGGGCAAAGATGCAAGTTTGTGACTGAGACCAAAAAAATAAATTATTCTCTGCATTTTTTTCCCTGCAGTTGGATGTTACATGGAGACAGTGTAAGAAAAAAAAACAAGTCTAGTATCAGGCAGAAGAATTCCCAAATCTCTTTTATCAGCAGTTGGACAGGTAGTTAACTCTACACTACAGAAGCCTGTGATTATCACCTGCCATAACCTGCAAGGAGATTCTTACATCAATTCCCAGCTTTTGGAGAAAAGCTGCAGGGCGCTGACATACAGCATGACAGGTAAAGAGGGAAGTGAACAGCCAGTCAGCAGCTTCAGGAGCCCAGATTCCCCAAATCCGGGGAGCAAAGGGTGTGGCAGCTCCAGGGAATAACTCAACACTGTGCTAAGGCTTTGTCTAACCAGGACTCTGCCTTCCAGCCTCTTCTACGGAGATTCCTTTTTCCTTATGGGGAAGCACTCTGCCCCACATTACACACAGGGCCAGACTAAATAATTATAATGACCCATTTTGAGTTTAAAACCTACAAAAGAGTCTGTGTAGAGCTGTCCTGCAAGGCTCAGCCCACATGAGCATTCCAGGGCTCCTGGGGCTGGTCCTTCCAGGACAGCAGCTCCACACTCCATCCCTCACACACACCTGGTACCTGAGGACTGCCAGCCCCTCAGTCTGTCCAGCTCTTCTGCAAGTGGAGCCCCAAAGAGTCTCTTCCACTGAGAGCAAAGTACTGGCTCCAGCCTTGGCCACCACAGCTGGGGACAAAGATGGAAACCAGCAGCATTAGTGGTGGTGTGCTCAGTGGTTGGTTGCAGTCAGGTACAGCCAGGTACTCAAAGAAAGGGTTTTTTCCCCCTCTCCTTAATGAAAAAATCCAAGTTGTGCATAAACACATCAGAAATTTCACATCCTGGAAATGCAGCGGGTCATTTGTGACCATGCTCATACCACGGTGCCCTGGAACTCCTTTAGCAGGACCAGTCAGAATGAAAGAACAGTTCCACAGGGGTGATGTCCACACTCACCACATGCAACAAAATGTGTGTCCCCGTGTAAAATAGCACACGAGGAGTTGCACACAGGACGGAGAAAAAAAAGTGGGCATTTTGGTTGCTTGGGATGTAACAACCAGCCCCCCATAGTGCATCAGAGACCAAGACAAGCCTCCCAGCTCCCTGGTCTGAAACAGCCCCTGTGGTAACACACAGGGAGCCCAGAGCTGGGTTCAGTGATACCAAGGGCTCAAAAACAACCTGGAATTTTCCAAAGGCATTAAGAGTTTCTGTTAAATGTTGCACACTTAAATAACATTTAAAACAAGTGCTCTGAACTGGTGCTGAATTTCTCCCAGCACTCTTCAGCCAAAGTGAGAAGTTACCGCTGCAGAGAGGAGCACCAGGGGACATTTGGTTTGACAGGCTGTTAGAGCATCGTTGACCCCCTCTGCTGCCTCCTCACAGTCCAAGCTGGCATTGAGCAGGCCCTGGAAGAGGATAAATGACAGGATGACTCCACACATATGTCTCTGCTGCTTGAAGTCCCTTACTGAGCCATGTGAAGTAATCAGAGATAACTGTAGGGGTCAGCATGGCTCAGCAAAAGAAACACGTGCTCAACAGCTCCTTCCCCCACCAGCTTTACTGCATTGTATTAAAATTCACCTATATCACTACTTCCTCCTGCCACCTCTCCTCATTTTCCTGGATTACTGCTCTTCTTGGAATTACACTAGGAGTTCTCAAAACAAGGGTACAAAGGGCACACCTCGTGTATCAGGTGTCCTGGGAAGGGAAGCTCTGAGCAGGGACAGTGAGGCAGTGACAAAAGCAGCAGTTACCCTGAAGAAGTGAGCTGTGATGTCGTAGGAGAGCGCGTACCCTCTGGAACAGACATTTTTCTGCAGGAAGACAAGGAAAGGGAAACAAAAAAAAATTAATTCCTTCCCTTTGGAATATGATTTTCTTAGAGCATTTTGAGTGTCTGGCAGAACAGGGCTCAGAAAGCACAGATCACCCTGTGAATCCTGATGGCAGAAACGTGGTTTCTATATAAAGCAACCCCACGACTTGTGCTACACAGTCCCTGCATCCCCGATCACCACATGCCTGGGGTGGCAGCAGCAGATGGATTAACAGCCTTGGGATGAACAGACATTTCTGGCTGTGCCTAATGTGACATTGCTGGAGAGCCTGGAAAGGCCAGTTGGGATGAATAAACAGAAGTCAGCTCTCTTCAGAGCACAAAGCAGTGTCCTGAGGGACCTGCAAGTCAAGTGACCTTCCCCCAGGAAGCTGCAGGGATGTTTCTGGATGTTTCCTAGAGTATTTTCACAGGAGGATGAAGAGGATCCCACTCTACAGCAAATCAGTTAAAGGCCCTGGCATGACAGAGGGATTACAGAGGGGCTCATGCTCAGCCCCTTCCAGGCCTTCACGGGAACACTGGGCAGTTCGGCTGCACTCGACCTCCTGACCCTTATCTAGAGCATTTACCAACAAGGAATTACTGTTTGGCTCACAATACGTACCAGCTCTGAGTTCACAAAATGAAAAAAGTCTTCACAGTCTAACACTGTTTTCCTTCCTTTCCAACACACGGTGATCAGAGCAGATGCAGGGAGCCCGACCAGAATCCTTAGGCAGGGAAAAATGAAAAATTGAGGTTACTGTCAAGAAGAGAATCAGCCTGCCCATGAAGATGTGTGGCCTTTGAAATCCAGTCTACTAATAGGGCAACAGATAGCCAAAGACAACACATGCAAATGAAGTTAAATGAGGTGAGTACCAGGGAATAAGTGTCCCTTGCACAATTGTCACCATGACATACAGTGTCAGTCACTTGCTGTGGAATCAGAGGGGAGGACACATCACACACACTGTCCTGCTCTGAGCAGCAGTGTTGGTGGAGTTATTCCCAGCTGCTCAGACCTACACTTGCCTTCTGTGCAGCAGCAGCTCCTGCTGCCTCCACAGCTGCTCTTCCAAAGCAGATCCGTGCTTTCTGTCTCTCAGTCTTCCCTGGAGAATCTCGAACAGGAAGTGTCTCTGGGCAGCCGAGCAGCTGAGACGCAGCTTTTGCCTACAGCTCAGCTCCAGCACCAGCTCCTGAACAGAGTGTGGGGGGAAACAGTCAAGGCTACACATCAGCCTGCAGTCAAACCCTCTTTGTTTCTCTGAAGAAACATGGAGATCAATAAGAAAAACCTGCCTCAATCCCCATCCCACTGCTCACACATGAGAACCAAATGGAGACTCACAAACACCAGGGTGTAAGGGAATACTTTGGTCAAGTTCTAGGATTGAACATCCAGGTAACACATCACAGTCTAAAATCACCTGCAGCCTGCAGAGAATCTCAGGGCTAAGTGACATCTTTGACTGGCCACAGCCACCCAGGTCCAGCCTGAAAAGAAGAGACACATGAGGTCACCAACCCTGTTAGCCTGGGGCACAGCACAGTTCAAATACAGTCAGATGCTTCAGATGAACGCAGAGCTCAAACATTAATGTGCCTTAAATAAGCTGTAGCTGAGACAGCAGCTCTCCCCTAACCTCCCTCCTCATTTTCCAGCTCCAGCCACGCCCCCAGGGAACTGGTGCTTGTCTGGCCGAACAAATCTGAGTACAAAGTCAACTTAGAAAAAGACAGCCAGACTAGGGCTTCTCTATGGCTGCAGCCCCAGACCTCTGTCACCTAAAGCAAGATGCTTATGCAAAAACTGGTGAGTCACTCAGGGCCACCTCCCAACTCCCACTTCCAGCCAGACCAGAAGGGAACGGCTTCCATAGCCCCATGGAAGGGACAAGCTCCCATTCACAGCTTCAAGGTTATTAGCAATGGAAGTCACAATACAGAATACCTCTGTGAGGAATCCAGGAGGGCATTGATAATAACTCCACATGCCTTCTCCAGGTCTCCATCACAGCCACCAGCAGCGGAAGGTGCAGGAAGATACCGTTGATAGATGGCCCAGTAATGGAAATCCTGCCTGAAATGTAAAAAAGGAGGAGATGGGAAATCTATTTGAATGGTGCCCTTTCCTTGATGTAATAGGAAGCTCACACACCAAGTGTGATGAATGATGTGTGATCAGACAAAAGCAGCACATAAGCACAGACATGAAGAGTCCTCCAGCAGATCCCACCCGTCCCGATGCCAGTCAGCTCTTGGATTCGGAAGTGGGGAGGTTTTGTGCCAAGTTATTTGGAAGGGCTGCACATACAGGCTATATTGGTGAGCTTCATAGAATCCCAGAATGGTTTGGGTGGGAAGGGACCTTAGAGCTTATCTTGTTCTAGCCCCTGCCATGGGCAGGGACCCTTCCACAGGTTGCTCCAAGCCCTGTCCAACCTGGCCTTCTGTAGGTTAACACCCCCCCCCATTCCAGCAGTGCTTAGCTCAGGACAAACCACAGCAGGCAACAGGCATTTGTGTCCTCCAGTAGCTGTTTATTTACTTCCTGGTTTTCAGTGCTTTGCCCTAATTTGGGTGGGAGACTCTTGGACTGCTCCCTTTCCAAGAGCCCCTCTGCACTTACCTTTCTGAAGCAGAGAGAATATCCTTTTCAGGGCACACCTCAAGCTCCATCAGCAGCCACTCTCTGAAAGACAGCTGGGAAAAGCAAGAATTTATTAATGGGGGAGAACAGCAAGGCAAGTCACTTGTGCAGAACAGCCACCTGCTTTCCAACATAAAATGCACCTTCACTTCATCCCCAGACACAATCCCGTGTGGATTGAAAGACATGAAACAGGGGACATCAACTCAAGGAAGTTTTTGTCCTTTTTCTCTTGTAGGAAATCCAAGCTAAAGCCCCACTGGCCTTCAAAAATTCACGGAGAACCCGTAAAGCCTGTCTCATACCCACCCACCCCTTTGACATTTCCAACCACACTCATCACCTGCAAGCCCAGATACCAGAACAAATGTGTGTTATTAGAAATAAAGGCTAAAATGAGCAAAGCACCTCAGTCAGACAGGGTGGTGTAAGCATCAAAGGGAGGTTGTAACACAGAGGTATTTCAGCCCTGCACTTTGAGCAAGCACAAGGAGTCATTCTAGGAACACCACAAAGTCCTCTGCACAAAGACAAACTGGTTTTAGAGGAAGTAGGTTAAAAAAGGAAAGTCTGTCAAATCAGACACACAACAAGGGTGGTACAAAGAGAAGAGCTGAGATGGTGACCTGCTTCCAGCAAGGCAGAGCTAAGCAATCCAAGGTGCACAGGGGGCTCATGGGAACATTGATATTTAGGCAAAGTACCAAAAAAGCAAAGATTTTCAGCTATTTGTCTCACCATCGCTTTACAGAGAGCACAGCAGGGAGCCAAGGTGATGGACAAGCCTTTGTTCTACAGTTCTGCAGTTTCCTACTGATATGGTATAGCTTGCCAAGCTTCCTACTTTTCCAAGAAGTAGGACACAAGGTTTTACCTCTGGTTTTCTCTTTCTACCATATCATTACCATCACAATCCACAAATAACACTGAATACACATCCCAGCCCACATGACTCAGCTGTCAGGCCAACTTTTCAGGCATTTAGCTCTTACTTTAAGGCATTAAGCTCTTACAAGAAGCTTTTGATCACCAATAAGGAAATTGCAGAGGGCAGATCTAAAAAATGAGAATTACAGGGTGAATTTAAGGCATGGAAAAGATTTGTACCTGGAATGCTTTTTCCTTTAAGAGCTCTTGGAAGAGTGCTTGCTTCCACAAACACAGGCTGGCTCTTCTGTAGTTCAGAGAGGGGCAGGACAGGGAGCTCCAGGTTAGGGCAGTTTTGTCCTCCCCACACAGGACCCCTCGAGCTTCCAAGCTCAGCCGAGGCACAAGGTGCTGCAGCTGGAACAAAGACACAACACCCTGCACGTGGCTGTCACAGAAACAGCCACCTCTGGTTGTGTGGAACTGCCAAACCAGCTGATACACCAAGGGGTAAGAGGGGAGGGTACAAAGATGTACTTTTATAATGTTTTCTTGGTGTAAGTTATAATTGCACAGGGCCCTGCAGCAGGAAATTGGGCTGAGACTGAACTTTCTCATAGAAAACGGCAAAACTTTCACCCTTTTACCTTTTTAATCAGGCCAGGAGGAATCAAGGCACAAAAATCTTCATGAGAATATGATGAGAACTTGCACATCGCATAAGTTGCTGCTGCAGTGCAAAACCTGAGAGAGAAAAAGAAGGAATTCCATTATCTGGTTAGTTCAATTCCCTCCACATGCTCTGCAAATCCTCCATGGGAGCTTTCCCAGCATCCCAAAAACCCTTCAGCTGGAGAAACAAGGAGTTGGTGGATGCACTATCTCACCTCATGTAGAAGGCAAATGACTCTTCTGTCCTGCACATGAGCAAGCAGGTCCAGTACTCAGAGATGGAAAAGGCCTTTTCAGCAACAGGCCGGGAGATCCCAAAACTGGCTTCTACTCCAGGAATTAAAGCTCTCGATTCACTTAAGTGGATCACAAAAGCTGCTAGTCCTAAAATATGAGCATCAGTCAGGGAAGGACCCTGAAAGGCAAAATAAATAAAGAACTAAAGAAATTTTGCTTGTGACTTTGTAACACTTCCTTTATAATATTGTAGCATTTTGTCTCATTGTGACATTTCCATTGTAACACTTTAACATTTCATTTCTTACATTGTAATACTTCATCTATATCATTGTAACATTCCTTTTGCACCAAAAGGACCATTCTCATGGAAAAAGCTCTGAATTAATGAAGCAGCAGAATGTTGCTTCTGCCCACTGACCAATTAGTTGAGCAATATCAATCAAGCTGATGAGACACAACCTGCAGCAGAAGTGGAGGTTTCTGTAACACAGCAACTTAAAGCAACTCACTGTAAATTCAGAATCTGGGTTTCTCAAGGCTTTTTATCTTCTCTGACAGCTAGTTTGGTCTATCAGCCTTTTACTTCCACCCTTGCAATATCACAGGGTAGAGAAAATAAACCACACAATTCTTTAATAAGGAAATCATGCACTGCTGAGGCCCAGATTTGGGGGGGGTTATTTTATTTTTAAATTTTTACAAGTGAATTATTTGATGTGGAAGCTTAGGAACGAAGCATTTCACTATTTTTCTTTTGCCTCCTTCCTCAACTTGCCTATTTTAGCTTCTGTTAAAATGTATCTAGAATGCATTTACCTTCCACAGCAGTGTTTCTGTAGGAAAACATTCACCTCACACTCCTGAGGGCAACTCCATACTGTTTGACCAAAATGGGATTATTTTGGGAAGCCTGGAGGCCAGTGAAGTCTCTTCACAGCGCAGCCTAGACAGGTCCATGCCCCCCAGCCCAGGAAATGGATTAGGATAGTCCTCAGCACACTATAACCATAGGATTCCCGGTTGGAAAACTGACCTGATGATAAATGAGCTGACAGAGCCTGGCCAGAAGTGCAGGTAAGAGATTCCTGTGTCCACAGATCATCTTCACCAACAAGGAGAGGCATGGGCCCTGCCTGCAGAAGGAGAAACCACAGACTTATTTAATTTATCCCCGATGCAGGAAGAGGTGATTAAAAATGCTTAAACACCGTGGAGCTGAGCCATCCTTGTCTGTAAATATACCACAATTATCATTCCCTTTACAGGCTCGAAGGAAGGGGCACTTTTGTGGTACCTAAGCAGAGAACCCCTACAGACATGACCCTCACCAGTGTCCTGCCTCACATACTTGATGATATCCCACATACTTGTCATCTCAGAAGGTCAAAGTGGCCTCTGAGGTGACAACAAGGGGAGGAGGAGCTGCCTGGGGCACAGCCTCAGCACAAGGTAAACAGAGGCAGAGCAATAAATGGGATCGAAAACAAAGCAAAAAGAAGTTGGTATCACAAGGTCCTGCTACATAGCAGAGGAAGGGAGGGAGGGACTTTTCCATCCAGCTCAAAGAAAAACCCATCCTTGAGGAGATCAGGTGGGAGTTGGGTTAGAGACGATTTCCTGGGACTCTTGTTTATTACAGCGACTTCCCAGCACAGGTTTTTAGCACTGACTCATCTGCTCCAGGGCAAAGCACTGTAAGAGAGGGAAGGATGCTCTGGTTGCCAGAGCACGCTGCCCTCTGGAGAGCAGCCCCAGCTGGGAGCCCAGCCAGCTCCTCAGCACGCTGCTGTTTTCCAACAAAGTGATTTTCCACTGACATGTTGCCCATAATGTTTACAGACTCTGCTACATCATGAAGAACGTGGCTATCAACAGTTCTTCCAGGGGCAGAGCAGTGCTGCCTCTCCCTCCTCAGCCAGGCCAGAAGCAAATGAGTCCCTGCCAAGGGGAAGTAATTCCAGGACAAAAAGGATTTGCTTCATTGCCATCCCCCACCACTGAGCTGCAAACATCTGCACGATCACATCGTGTTTGTGGGGAGTGTTTAAACCTTGTCACAGAGCACAAAACAGAGCAAAGGCCACTTTTCTGCAGGGATCAGTAACAACACAGGAGAAACATGTTTTATTTACACAAATACTTCAAAGCACATTAATTCTCAGAGTGTAGAAGCTCTGAGTGAAGCAGCCTGCAGCTGCCAGCCTAGCACAGTGGGAATGAGCAGCTAAAGTTCCTCTATGCCCCTGGAAAAGTGTTGGAATTCTGGTGTATCAACCCATTCTGATTTCCCTACTCTTTGACTCACATCTTACCTGTCAGGAGGGTTAAAAGAGGAAGCAGCTATTAGGGTTTGGCAGAATGATGTCAGCAAAAGATCAACAATCTGAAATAAAAAAAAAAAACAGGAATAAAAACCAGGAATAAACCTGGAACGAAAACCACACTGCTAATTCCTGCTTGTCAGGCTGGATATCTAGACCTGGTTTTCTGCTTTGTGTATATTATGTTTCCTGATATTAAAACAAGGAGACACACTGGTTAATGATATTCACTCCACCTTGTACAGATCCACTGGCACTAAGGATGGAAAATTAAACCCCTAACAGCCCAGGAATGATCCCAGCACACAACAAACACCTAGACAAAGCTGCTGAGGAAAGCCTTGCTCATCCCAGGACTGCTCTGCCAGAATATACCTCTAGATCTTGTCATCCAACAACTTCCAGGAGGTTAAGACACATGAATATTCTGTGCAAGGCAGGACAAGGCAGACAAAAGGGGAAGTGCATTTCCTGCTCTCCGCAGACAAAGCAGCCTTTCACAGCTACCATCCAGATGCATTTTTCCCAGCCCCATTGTTTCTCTCCCCAAGCCAGATGGTACTCACACTCCGATGGCAGGGTTCCAGCCTGGGGGCAGGAATGGAGACTGGGATTGGAGAATTCAAAGGAGCAGCTTCATTCTCATCACTGCTGTCACTCAGGACACTCCGGAGTCTGTCTGAAATCACGGCAATCTGTGCTGGCACATCTGCGGGGAGGCGACAGGGGCAGAGAGGAACCAGGACAGCAGGCATGGAGCATTTGCAACCCCCCACAGCAGCAAGAAGAACAAGTGAAATGTATACTTTAACATATGAAAGGGGGCCCAGGTCACCAGGTGAGCCCAGGAGCGGGGCTGCAGAGACTGGTGTGGCACCAAGTGATCCTCACAAAGATGGAGTCCCAAATTTCCCAAGGAATTAAAATATATGTATTAATAGTTGGAAGGATTATCAGCTCTGAAGGATTTCCAGCTTCAGGTAGCAATGGCAGTAACTCTTGCTGTGGCTTTGGCCAGCATTAGCCACACTTTATTCAGGCAGCTTTTGGAACAGTGAATGAGGGGTAGTTATAACTTGCATCCCTCTTACCTTCCCACTGAGTCTGGTCCACAAACAGTGTCCTGAGCTCAGCCAGCTCAGCCTTCAGCTGCTCAACAGGCTCTTTGGAAAGGCTAGGCTCTGCTTTGGACCCATCTGGACAAGGAAGAGAGGAAATACATTCAGCAATCTCTGTGTGCACTTTCTGTAAAAGCAGAATTTACTTTTCCTGAAGCTCTAACAAAACCCCAAACTGTCAATCTGCCACACACACAGCTTTGTTTTTACATTCAGGATGTGCTATTTAATTAATAATTGATGGGTTTATGCCTAGTTGCAGAGAGGAATTCAGTTTTTAAAGACAAGAGCCAAAAAAAGTTCTGTTTTCAGAGTTTTCTTCCTACTTCCTTTAGCTCTCCCCTCACAGAAACATTTGCTGTCCTCAAAAGACTGGAATCAGACTCAAAAATGCAGAGACAGATATTACAGCATGGATACATCATCAGCTTCTCCTCAATTCAACACCATGCACATCTCCAGATGCTACATGTTACTGTGTTCTTTTTGTTTAAAAGAAGGAATAAAAGGAAATTCCTTTAACCACTAGAAAGAGACGCCACTAGCAACTGCCTCAGCCCCCAAAACCACCCAGAGTTTGTTAGACAGGAACAACTTCTTGTATGAGAGCCAGGAATAAATCACCCAGGAACAAGAACAGCAAATAACAAAGGTTGTTACTGGTTGTAAATACGCTGTAAAATAAGGTGTTAGGAGACCACTGAGTCATCTGTGTGAGAGTGAGCACTGAGAAACAGGGTTTGAGGCTGCTCAGTGCTCAATCCTGCCCTAAATCCAGGCTCTGTGCAGAGCCCAGGGACAGAGCAGGGAGTAGGGGACAGGAGGGGACACGGCTCAGGCTGAGCAGGAGGCTGGCACTCAGCTCGGGCTGTGCCACTAGAGGTCAGTGGAACTCCGGGAGCCCTGCAGAGCCTGCCGGGATGCTGCGGATCCCCTGCCGGATCCCCAGCCCGGCCCGCAGGGACCTCATCCCACCCGGTTGCCAGGCCAACCTCGGCAGCCAGCCTGCTGCACATCTGCCGTGCCCGGGGACGGGCTGTCACGCCTCTCCAGCCACAGCATCTCCACAGAGCCTCAAAGGCCCCGAGCAGGAGGTGGCTACAGATTTATCTTTATAGTCAGAGTATGAATCTGTAACTTATCCCCACCACGCTCTGGGAACAATCTCTGCTCACCAGCCTGACCTTTTCATTTCATATAAAACATTTGAAGGTGTGTAAGAAACACCCACTGGCTGACAGAGACAGCAGAGCTCACTAAATACCCATTACACTGACCCAGCAACGGGACCCAAGAATCATCGGGACCCTCCCACAAAAAACCCTATAAAACCAGGAGCTCCAATCCTTTCCCAGCCCCTCCTGTTCCCCCAGATGTCCCTAATCCTCTCTTAAAAGAGGATGCCAGGAGCTCAGACAGCACCAGTGCCATTGCACAAGGGATCAGCACAGCAGGTTCCCAGCAAAGCAGGTTTCGCCTGGGCTGAGCAGCTCAGGCTGCAAACGCTGATTCATGGAGAGGTCTCAGAGGTGGAATTCAGCCAGCTCAGGCTCAGGCATCATCTGCAGCCTCAGCACAGCACAGAGCTCCCAGGGACTGCAAAACTCCCACCTAAGCAGGGCTGGCAGAGAAAGTCATTACAGGAGTAACTATTGAACACCTCGACACAACATAAAGAACCTACAGTTATTTACGTGTGGATTAAAGACCTATCCAGCCCCAAATCTCTGAGAATTTTCAATACAGAGGGCATCAGTGGAAAAATTAACCTTTCAAACTGATCCATAAGTAAATGTATTTTTTACCTTGTAACATCTTCTCTTTCATAGCATGACAGGCTTGGAGGTATGAGGAGTACAAGTTTGAGGGTATTTTATCAGCTCTGTAATTATAAAAAAAAAAAAAGAATATACTTATTATCCTGCATAACCATACACTGCAGTTTTATTAAATATAAGTACAAACAACAGCTCTGCTATGAAATGTAATTAGAGGGGCTCTGAAGCATAAAGAGCATCTGAAGCATTTTTTAATCATCTGACACGAGGGGCAGAGATTTCTACCCAAGGCTTTCACAGCAAGTATTGCACACACGTAACACACACAAAACCAATACTATATATATTATTAATTCATGCATTAATGCCTATTTCATATCTAGTAGGTGTCTAAGATCTCCTAAGACTATGAGCTGTGAGATGCAGCATTCACACATGTAAAACACAAACGTGATGAGCCCAAGGTGTGACCTCTCCTTGCTGGGCAGGCACTCGGTGCTAAAAACATGTCCCACAAGGCTCCCTGGAAGTCAGCTGCTTCTCTTACAACTTTAATTTCACAAAACAATCCAGTCTTTAATTTTAGAGCCAGACTGGAATGACAAGGCAGGACCAAGCACTTCATTTGTAGGCAGTGTTGCAAACATTTTTCCTTCATGAGAGGTTACAGAGGAACTACTGGATGTAAAATAAAGCTGCTTCTGCAATGCAGATAAGCACTTTTAAACATGCAGGCAGGGCAAGCTGGAGCCCTGAAAGGGGCTGTGTCCTCCTGGGGTACCATCCTGGTGTCCCTTGAGCACGAACAGAGATTTAAGTTTCATCTTCCACTCCTCCTACATCCTCTCCCAAAGAAGCTTTCACAGGGGGGCTCATATTCCTGGGGAAATTTTATATTCATCTATATCCTCCAAAATTTGCATAAGAATATACCTGGCCCGGAGCCAGAGGGACTCCTAGATAATGATTTCACAGTGGCCACAGGACTAATGACAGACCTGAAGACTACAAAGACAAGCTCCCCCATCCACAACCTGCAAGCCACAAACCTGGGCCACAAAGCCCTGCCAAGGTTGGTTGTAACCAAGGTGTCAAAGCCTCTGATAATCTGATATCAAGTGTCCCGAAAAGAAAGCCCAGCAGCACAGAAAATGACACTGGGAAGTCTCAATACCTCTTCAGAGAGTCTATAAAAGCCATGCGTGCATCTGGGGTTTTAGGGAGCTGCAACAGAGAAAGAGACAGGTTAGGGGCAAATTACCTGTGTACAAACACACAGCTCATGGGAGGAGCAAAAAAAGAGCCAAATACTCACCACACGTGGTCTGAGCAAGGCAGGAAGGAACCAGGAAGTGTAATATGGTCGCCTGAAAATACTGAGAAAATAAACAGAGCAAAGTATTAACAATGCCAAAGGTCCAAAGTGCCATCTCCTCACATCAGGAATTAATTCAGCTCCTGCAAATATGAAATATTCATGGCAACGTGAATAACCACAGGTAGAGCAGGTTCAAGTTAGCAATAACTATTAATTTCTTTAATTTTGCTTTTTATTATGACAATTCTGGACTTCTCTAGCAGAGGTGCATATGCCTTTTCACTCTCTGTACAGATATCCTTATTAAGATGACTCCTGAGGAAGTGGGAAGAACTTTCCCAAACCTCCTTTGCTCACATCCTCAATTTTTCTTGTTTCCTTATTTTGATTTGGATTCAGCTATTATTATTACTATTATTATTATAATACCTAAATCCAGGTAGAGTTGAAAAGCACACAGTACCTGGCTTCTATCACAGATGTTGGGATCTTCCTTGTATTTTCAAATATCTGAAGGGCCTTTTCAACATCACGGAGTGCCTGGCCCTGGGGCTGCCAGAGAGAATGAGAGAATAATGTGAGAAATCAAGGGTGATGATAAACTTTCCTTTTCTGTTCTGCATTTGGATTACTGTGGTTCTATTTTAGTTGCACATGTGGAATCAAGACGCACCATCTCCACTTCCAGTCCGTGCCTACAGGCAGAGGGACTGACATCCCGAGTTTCTCTTGTTTGAGCCATAACATGCCTCAAACTGCAACAAGTTTCTCAACTGACAAACAGATCAGACTTGGAAAAATTAAATTAAATCTTCACTTATGACTGTCAGTTCATCACAGGACTGGGGTTCTTGCAGTATATTCAACCACCCTGTCTCTAGCCTGTATTTAATGTACTGACTGACTGTGTAAGTGAGGCCTCTTAGTCTGACCAAAATGCTTACTTACAGATTACCCAAAATTTATCATGAACCACAGTGTGAAGTTGCAGACTGTAGATTCCATCTCCAAATCTCCTTTAAATATTCACACTTTTGTACAGCACCACAAAGATGATGTGCTCTACTGAAAAGAATCAAGATACCCACAAAATATTACTCCAGTTTTCATGAAATCTGGGGAGATCTTGTATTTATGGCCACTAACCCCTCTAGCTTAAAGCTGGAGATCTGGCAGCATGCTCCAACTTGGAATGGCAGGGAAGTTGGTAACCTAAGTGCTTTTCCAAAGGAAAAGGGACATGGCTGATGAGAAAACTGGGAGACAGAGCAGCAGTACCTGCACAGCCTCATCAGTGGAAGACAGGTCTTCATAGAGCCCCATGTCCTCTATGGCCACCTGTGTGAAGTTACAGAGATGCAGGTGGTCACACAGAGCAGGGATTGACAGATCCAGAAGGAATTCTTCTCAAAAGAGACAATTTTCACTGACCTTGAGGTCAGACAGTCGGGTTTTAGCCAAAGTGATGTATTCCAAGAGCAGGGACCGGTGTTTCGTTGGCACAAAAGGTGGGTACATTATATGGACCTGAAATAGGAAAACCACCACCAGATTCGCCATTTTTACAGGAAATCAGTGTAAAATTCTGACTAATGTTTACAGTCACTTACCTCAAATATTCCCCAAAGAAAGCATTATTGCTCAGTTTAAGATAAACCATTTTCATGGCAACTGACACATAGTTTTTCCCAACAACAGCAAACAAACAAAGTCACTGAAGTGCTTAAACTTAATTCCATTAAAGGAATTCTCCCAGTCAAAAAATAAAGAATCTTGTCCTTCCTTATTTCAAGAAGAAAAGGTTTTGAATAATGTATCAGAAGTAATGGAATTCCTATAACAACATTAATAATGAGCTGAGCCTACTCAAAGGCACAAAGACGGTCACTTTGGGGCAGTTCTGGATCTGAAAACCACCTGTCAGCACTTTCTCACCTTCAGGTATGGGGCAGCTTCAAAGGGCACCAGCTCCGACAGGAACTCGAAGAGGAAGACCAGAGCTTTCTTACTGCTCCCATGGTGGCCACCAGCACTCCCAAAAGAAGCCTGAAACAGGGAAAAATGACAAGAGAGCCTTTCAGCATGGAGAGAATCCTCATCCCAGTGGTGCCATAACAGCACACAAATCCCAGACATCCCATTTCCGTCAGGGGAATCTTTCTGGAGAAAAACCTCCAGAGAATGCTTACAGAATCCCAGAATGGTTTGGGTTGGAAGGCACCTTAAAGCCCATCTTGCTTCAACACCCTGCCACGGGCAGGGACACCTTCCATTAGACCAGGTTGCTCCAAGTCCCGTCCAGCCTGGCCTTGGACACTTCCAGGGATGGGGCAGCCACAGCTTCTCTGGGCAACCTGTGCCAGGGCCTCACCAACCTCATGGCCAGGAATTTCTTCCCAATATCCCATCTAACCCTGCCATGGTAGTGGGAAGCCATTGCCCCTTGTCCTGTCACTCCAGGCCCTTGTCCAAAGTCCCTCTCCAGCTCTCCTGGAGCCCCTTTAGGCACTGGAAGGGGCTCTAAGGTCTCCCCAGAGCCTTCTCTTCCCCAGGCTGAACACCACCAGCTCTCCCAGCCTGGCTCCAGAGCAGAGGGGCTCCAGCTCTCAGAGCACGGACTCACAAAAGTCTCTACAGAAGTTTGCTGCCATGAGAACACTCAGTGTTAAACAAGACAACACCAAGATGCACCAAAGGATTGAGATTCGTGATGGAAACACAAATCTACAGGTTTCTACACAGGTTTATCTGGGCATTCTAAGGAAAATAACCAGTCTGAGACTACACAGAACACAATCAGTTTACTTTTTGATACCTCCTGAACACTCTATCAGCCAAAGCTGAGCTTGGATTTGTAAACTCAAACAAAGGAATTTCCAGGTTGAATTTATGTGGAGATTTGCATCCCTAAAATACCAACCTGTTTACACTTAAAAGCAACAACCAATTATCTCTAAGGTCACACACAGCAATTACAGCTGCATGCAAACCTCCAGGAAACAGGAATGCTTCCTCTGCCACAACCCACCACTTATGCAATAACAACAGTGCTGGTTATCAAGATACTGAAATATATCCAAGATGATGATTATAACAGGAATTACATGTCTGCATTCCTGGGAAATAACTAAGACAGGCAAGGTGAACTTAAAAGATGAAAGGAGGGAAGACTGGGGAAAGCCAAATAAATTTATTCTTTGCAGACACAAAGGCAGTAATAAATATTCAATCATTCCTAATATCAATACAATCATTCATTACCCTTTCTCTTTTTTTCCCACCTTTCTCCTGACTATCCTATCTGGAAAAAGGCTTTCTCCATGCAGCAAAACATTCCTTATGCACAGGTTTCCTCACACAACTAAAAGAAAGCTCACCAGTCAGGCCTCATTTAGTCTTACCTTAAACCACTCAGAGTAAGGCATGAAGACAGCAGGGCCCTCCAGAGCAGCCTGACGAGCGATCAGGAATGCGGTGATCATATTTTCCATGTCATAATTCCCAAAGGCCTTTAGCAGGAGATGGCTCAGTAGATCTAGGAACATAAAACAATAACCTCACACTTTGCTTTTGACAATGGTGCTGTAATTTTCTACAGTAAATGAAGACAAATGTCTGTGATAAAACTTAAGGCAGGACGTGTATTGCAGCCTGGGGAACCTTTGGGATCTGATTTAATTTTTTTCATGCACTTTCAACAGTCAAACACTCTTAAGATTCCCTGCAGGAATTGCAGGGAGTCCAGCACTGGGATAATCAGTAAGGAACTCTCACAAACAAGCTCTGCTAGTAAAGGTGAGCTAGAACTAAGCTTCAGTAATCACTACACCAATTAATAATGAAGGTAACTATCAAATAACCATTGGAGCTGTACACAAAGTTTGAGAAGTGGGAGACATGAGGCCTGGCATTCTTATCACTGCTGACATGGAATGTCTGAGTGGAAAAGCAGATGTTCTGCTGTTCTTTTCCATGCAGGAATCCCAGACAGAACCCATGGATGTCTGTTCTGCTCCTCATCCGAGCAGCACAGGCACTTCTTAGCTTGGCAGTGCCCACATACCCTTGAAGAGCTGCTCAGCTTCGGCCTGACACACCACCAGTGTGGAAACACAGGACAGGACGTGCTGCCAGTTCACCTCATGGGTCTCCAGGATTTGCTGCAGCTGGGAGATGGATTCCTTTGCACTGAATGCCACCAACAACTGGAAGAGTGATGGCAATTCCTGTTAGCTGGGACACATAGCCACACAAAAGAGGGAGATAAAGACTGACTTTTCTGTGTAAGAAAAGGTGGCACAGGCAAGTGGCTTTACTGGGACTTTCTCAAGCTATCCTGCAGCTTTTGCATCAGCCTCCCAGGCCCAGAGATCAGCCTGGCTTGGAACCAGCACCGGTTACAATAAGCAGTAATATTCCAATTCTCTCAGAACTCATGTAACGTTCTGTAATAGTGACAATTCACATCTCCAATCAGCATCTTCATTTTCATTAAGAGCTTTGCATAAACAAAAATCCCTGTAGTTCTTTGCCTTCACGCTTCCTCCTGCCCACAGTTTCTGGCAGCTGGCTTGGATCCTGGGACTGGAACGCTGCACTGATTTTCAACAATCTCATTTCAGGTATTTCAGTGAATATAAACCCAACATAATACAGTTCTCTTTGTGACACCAAGCAGACGTACTTTTCGATACAGGGTAGTGAGCAGGGAAGAAGTTCTGGTAAAGCTCCACTCTTTCTGCATCTGGATGGCATCAGACACTACACCCAGAAAAAGAAAACTTCAGCAACAGGTTTTAAAACACACACAAAATGCAATAGGTTTCCCTTTGGCAGCCAAACACATTAAAAACTGCCCACTCTCTCTCCCATTTGTTTTTGGAACACAGACTGTGGCACGAGGACTGTGCCATCCCACTATGGCACTGCCACCCCAGAGCTGTTTTCGTGACCACACACGCGTAGGCTGACATGGCACATGCACAGAGAATCAGCAAGGAATCAGCTTTTCCCTCATTAACCTCTCTCATCTGGAAGCCAGCAATGACACAGCTCTCCCACACAACAGGCAAGCAGCTCCAGATCACAGCTCACAGGGATTTTATCAGAGATTTTATAGCTCAGACATACTTCTTCCTAAAAACATCAAGCTTCACAGTTACTGATCAGGGATTAGAACCTTCCTGCCTTACTGCCTCATTCACCAAAACACTCATGTCTTGTGTGTAAACCCAGCATGTGGGGCTATCCTGGTTAATACCCAAGCTCTGTCTGCAGCACCCCGTCTCCCACTGAGCTTCTCCTTTGCCCAAAACTGTTCCCAGAAGCCAGAGCTCTCTCATGGCTGCTATTAGATATTATTCCAAATATCTGTGCACGAGCCCTTGGCTGAAGCTCTGTTCGAATTTTTCTCCTGATCTATGACCCTCTAAAAGCCCAGATGACTTTTTTGTCTGATCTGGCACTCTGATTATATGGACTCTGAGAAGAAGCTGGGGAGCCAGCCAGCTTTTCTGGCTCTGGGTCCTCCAGGCTGGACCTCACACAGCAAGGCCTGAGTGAGATGGAGCTCCAGACACACCTGGAGACACCTCTCCCCACCCACTCCTACCTTTCAGCACTGGGTTGTAGGTGAGAACCTCGGTCAGGGTGTGTCTGAAGAACTGCCGCATGGAATCCGGGTCAGCCACACTTCCATAAACTGACACATTGAACACATTCAGCCTGCAAAGGACAAGGAAATACCAGAAACAATGTCAGGAAGTATGATCAGCCAGGTACTGATTAAATAGCATCAACCAGGTACTGATTAAATATGACCTATGAGTTGCTGATTAAATATGATCAACCAGGTGCTGCTTAGGGTGAATGACTTATTTTTATTCTACATCCACCTTCTCAAATTGCCACAAATATATACTTTTTGTATGTATTTTTTCTTACAAAAGTGTAATGGCTACTCAACACTATGTAGACATCAGATTCACAAATCTGAGTCTAATGTATCTCCCAGCACAGGACTGAAGGTGACATGTACAAAGCAGTTAAACAAAACAGGCCTGGAAGCAGGAACTGGAGGTGATGGCACCTTCCAAGAGCAGTGAGAACACTTGCTGGAGAATTTTCTGCATGCCAAGAGGGGGCTCCAAGGTTGGTTCCAGCCGTGCCAGAACCCCCTTTCCAACCTGGCCCTTATCTTTTCACAAGCACTTTCATCTGCACATATTTTATCAGAGAAGAATACCAAAGACAAGTAGCACTGGGAGGGGTGGGGTATGTGTAAACAAGTAAAAACCAGCCCAACCATTCTCCCTACTTCAGTAACAAGAGTAACAGTGAATAAAAACCTACTCCTGACACTATTTGGAGCATTTCTTACCAGAACCTCACAGCTTGCAATGTGGAAACATCTTTCTGCTTCTCTTTACCAACAGCATCGAGCACCCCTGTTCCCCAAAATGCACAAAAACATAATGAGAAATAGAAATGGAAGGAACTGTGACAGTAAACACCACACAGGAACTAATAGGAATGAGCAATCTGTGCACCTTTTCAAAGGTGACCCTGTTAGGGAAATGTGCAGAAGCCATTTAGCAGTGTTAAATTCTCACCAAAATCTTTCCAAAGTGACCCAGAGACTCAGAAATTATTACCACTGACCTTGAACCAATTTAAAACATTCCCAGAACATGCTAATAATGAAGCCGTCTAAAAATGCACATAAATCTAAAAAATGCACATAATTTCCAAACCCAAACCTAACAATGTGAGTGTGAGCACTGTGAAGCTGCAGGAAAGGGAAGCCTGTCTGGAGGCAGGGATTTGCCTGCTGAATTAACCAGCCTGGGAACCCCGGTCCAAACAAAGAGCAGGCTGGGGGAGGGCCACACGTTTGTAATGTTGCATTTGCTGAACAGAAATTCCTTTAAAAGCCAGATCTGCCCCAAAATGACTGGTGGAGATCAAACAGGTTGGCAGCTTGCGCAGCACCGTTGTCTTGACAATCAGCCTACACCACTCAGAGCCCACAGACTGAGAGACCCTTTGCTTTGCAGCCTGCTGCAGCAGCACTTCTGCTCCTTGTGCCATCCTGCCTTGAAAACCCTCCTCGTTGAGCAGCTAAAGGAGCCTGGTTTGTTTATAAAAATAATTGAGAGAAGAGAAAAACCCTTAAAAGACAATTTACTGAGCAGAGGCAGAGAACCAGATGTGCCTCACATGCCATTACAGCCCTGGGAGGTAACACTCTCCTCTCCTGCTGAGGAATACTTTAAGGTTAAGTAGGGGAGAATAAAGAAAAGGAGATAAACTCTGCTTATCTTCAGGCACAGCAGTTCAACACAGTCAGATCATCACTGTGAAGCACAGCCCTCCCATGCTACTCCAGCCTGTCCTTCTCCTCCTCTGAAGGTCTTCAGTAACAGGGAATGCTTCTACATAAAAAATCCCAATGTTCTCCAAAGATTAATGAAGCAAAACCCCTCAAAGGTGACCCAAAAGTATAGACTAATATAATATCTTGCATAAAACTCAGGTAATACATTTTGCAGGCACACAGGCTGCGAGTGTGGCAGTGCAGGCTGCGCAAACGGGAAGGTCAAATGAAGAGCAGGATGCAGACTCCTGTCTGCCTGCCAACAGTCTGCTCCTCCTCCTCCAAAATCCCTACTCCTCTGTTGAGAAGGGTTGGTTTTCAACTGTTAAGGGGCCACCTGAGATAGGATTCATACGTATTAAATAATAAAGCACTTCTCTTGCAGCTTTCCCTTTTTAGAAGCACTCACAAGGTCTGTGAGGATTCTCTGTGTACAGACAGCTCTCCCTGAGAGACCTGGAGCAAGGGATGGAGCTGGCAGTGCCCACAGGGAATGGCACAGGATGGAGGGGACAGTCCTAGTGCTGTGTACTGGGTTTGGGTCACCTTCCAGCAGAGGAAAAGCAGCAGTCTCTGCAGCAGCACTGAGCAGGAAACGTGCCAGCAAGGAAAGTGGTGGAGCACTGTCACCAAGGAGACAAGGGAGTGACAGCAGCCGTGCAGTCAGGTGACATTACCAGGGGTGTGAGGGGTGTAAGGAAGGCGACAACAGCAGGTACAGCACCTCCACGTGAAGATCAGCTGTGACACATGACAAAAATAACCCCCATGTGTGTTTAGTCTTCCTGCATCAGGATTTGCATGTAAATCAGGCGCTGCTACGCTTGAGCCCGCAGCAGTCAGGGCAGCTCAGGCCAAGGTAGGCACATTGTCAGCTCATGAAGGCTGTTTAAAGACTACACACCAACATTAGATGTCTTTGCTCAGCATAAAAAATAGGTTCTGCAAAACATTAGTCTGAAGCCCAAACAGTGAGTCAGCAAAATCACTTATAATATTGTGAATTCAAAGTTTAATTCACTAAGCAGAAAAAAATAAATCTAAGCAGCAAACCGATCCTGGTCTAACCCCTGTGTTCCACCTGCTTCCAAGCAAATCAGTTAAAAATCAGGAAATCAGGTCAGGTATCTATCTGATGTCACACCTGAGAGCATCAAAACAAAGTGGCATAAAAGGCAAGAAATTATCTGCAGTGTCTGGAGACACTTTAAAAAGCAAAGGGAAAAGCAGAGGCAAATAAAATCAGTGGCACAAATATTATGCACAACAGCACAGGCAAAGCAGCCAGGCAAAGGATTTCTCCTTAGGGATTTAGCAGTGAACAAGGAACAGAAGTCTTAGAAACAGCAGTGGCTGCATAAAGCCAGGATCACAGCAATACTTACATGCCAGCATTCTCTGCAAGACAGCATGGCAGATCTGTTCAAAATCGACAAATTGAGGCATTTAGAGTTTCAAAGAGCTGCAGTTCTATGCAGAAAAGGTAAATTGACTCCAAGAAAGAGTTTTATCCCTCTTAAAGCTTCACTTTATCCTCAGGCTCTGCAGTAGAACAGGTAAAATAGACAGAGGGGCAGCATTCCCCATTCTTACCAGCATTCCATGCCTCACATTCAAATGGAAAAAACAGAGCAATCAAGGTGAAAGGAAGTTTAAAAAGCCCTTGCTGTGCCACCTTGGAGCAGCCCTCCATACAAACAGCCTCTGTTCTGGCTTCACCATTTGCCCCACTCCAGCATCCAGACCACCACTCTTTCCTTGCTGCTCCAAGCTCTGATTTATTTCCACTCAGCAAGACCCAGAGGTTTATAATGGAATTACTTTTTAAAAGCACTGTTTGTAACCAGGTTTATTTTGTTCTTACATAAGGAACCTTCTGGAATTCCACCTTCCTTCCCAGCTCCGAAGCTTGCTCAAAGCCATTCTGAAGGAACACGATGGCAAAGTCTGCAAATCAAGAAAGAACTGGTGTTTCAGCAGCCCCCTTGCACACAGATCACCTGCTCTTTCCCCTCCCACCTGTCCAAACAGTGTCTGAAAAGCCTCGTTCACCACTTAGCAGGAATAATTTATTGTCTTGGAGTAAAATTACTCCCAGGAAAAAGGATCCAGAAATTAAAGGATTGTAAAGACTAAAGAATTCACAGGTGACCACTGCAGAACTCAGAGGGGCTGGAGGGGATTCTTTCCTAAATAAAATTAGAAAATAAATAATAGGAAATGACAGAGGGAGAATGGAACTCTCAAATATTTGTGGTCCAAAAATCTCTCTGACACTTTGCGCATGTGTGTCATACAGTGTATCAGCCCTTGCCACACACACTTCCCAAATACATTTTCTTGTGTTACTGTAACTCCAAGGGATGGAAAAATTCAAACCAATTATTTTTTTAAGGGGAAAAAATTGCTAAATTTGCCAAATATATAAAAAATATATTCCCCTCACTGACAGAAGGTAAGAAAACACAAGGTGAGGCTTGTGTTTTTACACCTCCAAGGTCTTGCCCCGTGCACAGATGAGGGACTTGCCTGAGAGAAGGTGCTGTGCCAGCTTCGTGTCCCCAGATGGGACATTCCCAACCTGCTGGCAGATCCCACAGAGGCCACTACACAGCCACTCCACCACTGCAGGGCCTGCTGGACTCCTGGAACACACAAAAACACCTTCAGTTCAGTCCCTCCTGCTTCCTTGTTGTCTCCACCACCATCCTCTGGGTTCGAGGAAGAGCCACCCGTGCACTCTGCCCTAAATGTGGCATTTCATTTATTTAATTTGGACCAGCACATTTGCTTTACAAACAGTTGCTTTTTATATTATTTGCTTTATAAAAAGATTCTACAACACACACACAAAGGCAAAAATGCAAGTTAAATTGTGCATCTAGGTATTTCCTTATGTCTGATATGAAAGTGTTTCCACTGAGAAAGCTCTGCTAGAAGAACTTCAGTTCCAATTTCTAAGATACTTGGATTAAAATGCTTTAAAAAAGGAATTCAGGTCTTAATCTATGTCTTTGGTTCCCTTAAGTGTGAAGCACAGTGGGCACTGAAGGCTTTCATCATGAACGAGTAAACCAGTATCAAAAGCCTAAAAGATTATTGCAATGTTTCTTTGACACCATAAGGAAACAAACTTCACAAAGGATAATTCTGTATATACTGTTTATATACATATATACACACTCTTTTTAGCTCTGTATCATGGAATCACGGAATGGTTTGGGTTGGAAGAGACCTGAGAGACCATCCAATTCCACCCCCTGCCAGGAACACCTTCCACTAGACCAGTTTGCTCCAAGCCCCATCCAACCTGGCCTGTAACACTTGAGGGGGGGGAAACAGGAAATTAAAAATAAAATTCTTAGACTAACTACTCTCTGAAGATTAACTCTGCTAGATCAGAAATGCAAGGTTTTGTGAAGATGGAAGCACCCAACTTCTGTAGAGCAAGACTTCTTCTCAAGTCCAGCAGCTCATTTGATGGACATCAACAAGGCACTGCATCTAAACTGGGCTAATCATCCCAGAGTAACCTCTCAAACCCACAGTAACTTCTTAATCCTGCTAATCTGATCCCTTGCCAGCACTTGACTATATCCTGGGTCCAGAATACTCATGACTAATCCCTGATTATATTTCAATAGGCTTTAAGAGATTAAATACATCTGCAAAGCCACAAAGCTCTGCTCACCTCTCCAGCAGGTCTGCCAGTCCAGCGATGTCACTGCTGTGCAGGTGCCACACGACTTCCAGCATTGGAGGCTCCTAAAGAGATGTTACCATTAGGTCACAGGTTACATTTAGCTGATGCAAGTGATATATAAAAAAATAAAGCTGAATTCTGTTTATTCAAACTATCCAGAAGTTGCTAAAATTTAAACCTGATACCCCAGGAAATGCCCAATGAGGAAAGATTACATTTGCTTTTCCCTTCCTACAGATTTTGGATGGTTTACAGTTGTAGATGCATCAGTTTAAATTTTCATGGACAAGTAATTTATATATCCATATTTTTCCTCCAGAATAATGCAGATTCTGCACATTCAAAGGAGTAGTGGATATTCCATGAAACAGGTAACAGTGCTGAGTTTCAGGTTTTATTAATTCAGATCCAGATCCAGATTACAGAATTGTCTTTTAGTGTATTAACTATTTATTAGTCTCTATGGAACGAGTTTGCTGCTCTCAAATCTATATCCCAATATAGACTGGGATTGTAGGAGACTACAGGAAGCAACACTGAAATCATCCAGGCAGAGAGGCCAATGGACCGAGGGGAAAAATGAACAACCTTTGTCAAAAATCTGCACCAGACATCGCTCCCATGTGGATCAAATTGCTGCCCTGCAACATCCCTTCCAGCTCCTGCCTGGGACAGCATGTCCAAGAGAGTCCTGAGCCAGCAAAACACCACTGCAGGGTGCACCTGGCAGGGAAAAGGTGCAGCAGCAGCTTCTACTCATTCCAGATAGAACCCAAACCTTCCCACCTTGGGAAGGAAGAGGCATTTGGGAACCTCGGGCACAGGGGAAAAGCCAAAGCCCTGGGAGCTTTCTGCAGCCACCAGCAGCTACCTCATACTCTGACCCCAAACTCGCCCACATACTTTGTCTTCACAACCTAATTCTTACTGTAACATCCTCAGTTACAGGGCAGCACTTATCTCCCACTTATCCCATGTCTGCCCCAGGACCAGAAGATCTTAATCAGCCTATGAAACAAAGTCTATTTTCAGCCCAGGAGCAGATATGTGAGACCAGAGCATGGCCCTTTATCCAGGCAGATCAGTCTCTTCCTCCTTTCCCATCAGAACAGTGAGGAATCAGAACTACCCTACTCACAAAAAGCCCTGAACTCCCCTCACAACATCACTTGTCTTCACAAAACAAACCCAAATGAAATCAAGACATCCCATTTGTGAGGCAACACAACCTGTTATCTGCTATCTCTTTCTCTGTGACCTCACTTTGGCTTATCAACATTCCCAGATAAGCTGGGTGGAGAACCAGGACTGCAAAGACAGAAGGACTATTGTTGGCAAAGCACGTGAAGGACTTTGGGACTGGGTCACCCCACAGCCAGCTGGGAGCTTCTGCACTGGACCTGGAGAGCTCCCCACACCAGCATTTGATCACCAAGGTGCTTCCAACACTCCTTTGAGGCAGTTTCTAATAACTCACCTAATTCCAAACCTCAACTGAGTCCTGTGAAAAAGCAAATCCCACAGCAGAGACAAGGAATTTCCCACTGAACTTGCTTTAAAATAAACAAAACAACAAAACCCCCTAACATTTATAATTCATATCACTTTTGGCAGGTCAGGAAGACCACAGTCATTCTATGGAATTCAGGGATGTCACATCCCACAGATAAAATCTCATGGTCTATAACGCCACACTGTTTCTCCTTGAGTGATTACCTTCATTTTCCACATTTCTTGGCAGAATAGAGAGCGACAGAACACATTGTTTGCCAGCAAATCCTTCACCGTTTGAAGCAAGGAAGACAACCTCTTCTGGCATCACACCGGAAATGAAGCAGAAATAATTCCTTCTGTGAATAACACGTTCTTAGAAAAATAATTTGTTGCTTTCCCTGTTTGTTGCTTTTTAAAGGGTTAAATGGTGGAGAGAATTCACAGAAAAGGCCCAAACTTCTTACACATCTTGCACTTCTGCGAGCGAATCAGACACATCAGTGAATAATTGTCCACTCGGGCCCTCCGTGTTCGGGGGCTTTATCAGAGCAGATAAACTGGGCTTAAAGTCAAACCTAACATTGCTGTTCTCTAGATAAATTAAATTTAACCCTTCCCCCTTACTCTCTGGTCCAAGCTCAGCAGTGGCACTGGAGAGGGGCTGGCAGGAGCCTGGCAGATCCGCTCTATGTTGGTAACGGCGGTTTTGGCTGCCAAGGTTGCTGTGGGCACGTCCAGTTTGGAGGCCTGTTCCTGCAGAACAGAGACTGAACAAAACAACAAAGAAAGCTGTCAACATGGGAGGAAAAAGGGTTTGAAAACCTGGCTATGAATCATGGAATGCTTTGGGTCAGAAGGGACCTTAAAGCTCATCTCATCCCACCCCATGCCATGGGCAGGAACACCTTCTACTAAACCAGATTGCTTCAAGCCCCATCCAACCTGGCTTTGGACACTTCCAAGACAGAATCCCACAGCTCAAACCCCTTTCAGCACAAATGTCATCCATTGTACAGGGTAAATAATTTTTATTTCCATGTATGATTCCTTTACTATACATAAAACAGGGGAAGAACAGCCACAGAGATGGAATGTCCCTGAGAAGCAGATTTTTGTGTTTTAGCCTTGTAACACTTTCAAATAACAAAAGTATTCAAGGACTGACACCTTGACAGGGGTGTCATCAGCAGGTAAGTAAGAAAAAGACCAGAACAATGAAAAGAAAGTAAAAGTGGTGTTGCATTTAACAGGCAAACATTCAGTATGGGAGGAATTCTTCCTCACTGTATCCCCAGTAGATACTCACCTATAAATGACTCTGATGATACTCCCAGCTGCTCTGTGCCATCCTGCACACTTGGCTTGGCTGAATCTCCCACCTGGAAGCAAAAAAAACCCTTAGATGTCTGTTACACACATTTACAAACCTATTCCCTCTAAAGCTCTGGCACTGCTGGAGCAACTGAAGTGAAATTAGCACTGACTTCCCCCATGAGAATGAAATACCACAGATTTCAGGGCACCTTGCAAGAGATATATGTATAGTTATTGTCATTTCGTGCAGAAAAAAGGAGATACAGGTCAGAGTTCCTCACCCCCCAGCATCCAAGAGCTCAGCAGCAGTGCCAGGAGCAGAATTTTTGTAATTCCCATCTTTGAAGTCCTTTCTGTGAAGCCATATGGCCATAAATATTTGATGAAACATGTCCAAATGTTGGATCCTTTTCTAGTGAAATCTCCCCTTTATTTTTATAAAGACAAATACTCTGTAGAGAAAGAAAGATCCTGAAGTATGGGAGGTATTTGCAGAGTCTGTTGCAGCTGTAAAATCAAAACTGTGTGAGGAGAGGAAGAATGCGGCCAAATCAGAAGGTTGGATCAAGTCTAGGTTGTCGTGAAGACATTCAGGGTAGTCAGAAATGGTTGATAATTCAGAGAAACCCCAAGTCTCTCCTGATTTTTTCCCCTAGATTCACAAGAAGCCAGTTCTGACTCCAAGAAAAACATGCTGGATTTCTCTTTGTCCCTGATCCAAATCACGCTTAAGTATTTTCAGTCTGTAAGTGTAAAACATATAGGGAAAAGAAAATAATCTCATTTTGGCAACACAGACCTCCAAACTTCAGCTTACTCCTACAGTGTTGGTTTTTCTTTCCATGTGTCATGAAAACTGTGTTCCTGGGACATTCACTGCACAGCTGGTGGAACCCACCTCCAGCTGGGATCTCCCACCATCCCAGCTGGACCATGACCCCCCCAAACCATCCGGCTCCTACCTCCAGGAGGAGGTCAGTCAGGTTCTGGTGGTGATCCAGCAGCCTCAGAGCCGCTTCCTGGAGCTCTGATCCGCTCCCAAAGGAGCTTTTCCGCTTCCTGGCTCTCCCTGCTGAGAAGTTTGGGTTTGTTTTATGACCACAGCTTGTTCCCACAGCCCCCAAGGACACCTTCTGTTCCCTGCTGCTGGGGCATGAGGGCAGAGGGGGGATGTACGAGGGCCTGTATGAAGGCAGATGGAGTGCATGAGGACAGCCGGGTGTATGACGGCAAAGGGTTATGAGGAAGGCAGAGGGGAGCGTATGGAGTGCGGCAGGAGGGCAGGGGGATTTGTACGAGGAGGCCAGAGGTGGGTGTTAGAGGTGGGCAGAAGGGGGAGGGTTGAGGTGGGCGGGAGGGGTGTATGATGGCCGGGGGGCTGTACAAAGTCGAGGGGTGTATGAGGGCACGGGAGGGGGTCTCTGAGAGCACAGGGGGCTGTTTGAAGTGGGCAGAGGTGTGTGTATGAGGATGGGAGCGTAGCAGGGCAGAGTGGATGTATGAGGGCAGGGGAGTATGCGGAAGGTAGAGGGGGATGTATGAGGGCAGAGGGAGGGGTACGAGGGCAGAGAGATGGGGCATATTTGGGAAGAGGGGGGACATTGCCCCCCGGCCCAGCCGGGGCTCTCCCCGGTGCCGCTCAGCCCCACGTACCGAGCAGGTCCCGCCAGCTCCGCCCGCCCGCGCCCGCCATCGCGCGCCGCCGCTTCCCGCCACACCGACCCGCGCCGTCATTGGCTACCGCCGGCCGAGCCCTCCTCTCCCCATTGGCTGGAAGGGAAGAGAGGCGTGGTCACGCCCGCCCTGCCGCCTCTGTCTATTGGCTGAAAGAACGGGTTGTTCCCGCCCCCTGCCGCCATCTTGGTAGTGGCGGAGGGGGGGGTTGGCATGTTGCGGAGGGCGGCGGGAGAGGGGTGGGGGCTGCGGCTGTGGCTGGAGAGGGGAATGTGGGAGCACGCGACGGGATGTGGGGAGATATGGAGGAACACGGGTGAGGGGCTGTGATCCTGTCTAGATGTGGCCCTCGTAGCCCCGTGTCCCTCGGTGCTCAGGATGCTGCTGACTTGTGCCCCACCCAGGGACAAGAGCGGCTGGAATTCCCAAAGGGAGGAATCACTGGCATTGCTGGGGAATAAATCATTGAATCATGGAATGGTTTGGGTGGAAAGGGATCCTAAAGACCACCCAGTCCCACCCCCTGCCATAGGCAGGGACACCTTCCACCAGACCAGGTTGCTCCAAGCCCCGTCCAGCCTGGCCTTGAACACTTCCAGGAATGGGGCAGCCACAGCTTCTTTGGGCAACCTGTGCCAAGGCCTCGCCACCCTCACAGCCAAGAATTTCTTCCCAATATCCCACCTAACCCTGTCATTTGGCAGTGGGAAGCCATTACCCCTTTCCCTGTCATTCCATGCCCTTTTCCAAAACCTATCTCTCTCTTTTTTCTCAGCTCCCTTTAAGTCCTGAATGGCTGTAAGGTTCCATAGGAAGCAGTGTAGAATTCCCAGAGGGATTTTCCCTCTGGTCTGATCCTCCCTGGCGATGAACCACAGCTGTCAGCCGCTGTCCACGTGCCCAGCGGAGGGCTCAGAGCAGCAGTGGTGATCCCTTACAGGAAGGTGTACCCACCATCGGGAATCAGCTCCTGCCGGAATTGGCCGTGGGATGGTTCATTTTGAGCTGGCCCTGGCAGGGGTGAGTCAGCAGCACACGTGCCAAGAGCTGGAGAACACTTCTCGGCAGTGCCAGCGAGTCTGGCAGCTGGTGCCAGGGAGGCTGCAGAGAGATCCCACAGCACCGAGTTTGGGAACCCTTGCCAGAGTCACATTCCTGAGGTACCTTAACCCCTCAGGATGCCATTGTCAAGTTTAGGGCAGCCTCAGATTTTGGAATGCCCCACTGGGCCAGCCCCAGCAGGTGTCCGACCCGAGAGCTTGGCATTCCAGAGTACTCTTGAGGTTTATTCACATGGACACCAGGAAGCTCTCACAGCGTCAGTGTCCAGGGAACCTGGTACCTCCTGACTGTGGACCTGCTTACACAGGGGTGTAATGTGGTGGGAAGGCAGCAGGATGGGGTCAGTGTCCCCTCAGGATGATCCAAGTGCCGGTATCCAGTGTGGGAGTTCATTGCCTTGGGACTGGCTGGGGCATTCCAGGGAATCAGAAAGTCTAAGAGCAGTGAGTGCTATGGAACACTGGGTCAGGGACTCTGATTTGGCCAAGGAAGGAAAACCAGGGGAAACCATTCCTGTGATGGAACCCAACAAGGCGACATTGGGAGGTACAGTCAAGAGCTCATCACTGCCCAGGGTTCCCATTGTGTGCCCTCAGTGTCCTCAAGATCCCCACGATGTTCCCAAGGTCCCTATGGTGGCCCCAAGGTCTCCATGCCACCCCCAGTATATCCTCAAGGTCCCCACGGTGTCCTCAAGGTTGTCCCCAAGGTCACCCGAGTGGCCTTGAGGTCTCCAATGTGCCCCCAAGGGTAACCTTAAGACCGTCAGGGTGATCCCAAGGTCCTCAGTGTGCTCCAAGGTCTCTGAGGGTGTTCCCAATGCCTCCAGGATGGTCCTCAAATGTCCCCAAGGTGTCCCTCAGAGCATCCCACTTTAAACTCCAGCCACATTCAAGGCCAGCATGCAGCAGTAGGAAACTGCCCTGTCAAATGCCCCCTCCTTCCATGTTCCCAGTTTATTGCAGCATGGAAGGAAAATGAGAGAGGCACATCCACCTCACAGGTTCTCCATGTGCTTATTCCAGGTTCCTGTGGCTTTTTAAGGAAATTTTTTGCATATGAGAGTGGAAACCCATGGGAATGGCATATCCCTAAGGAAAGACGGCACACAGCTGCAGGTGGCTGGGGAAGGGTTCTGTCTGCCCTCCATCCCACCTCCGTGCCCCTCTCTTCCTGATTCCACACTGAAGGAACCAGGAATTCCAATCCTCCCATTGCACTCTGACACCCTTTCCCAAACTCTTCATATTTTTTTCCTTTTATCTTTCATTTTTAATTCTATTTTCTTCATCCACATACACGCTTGGCTTCCGTTTGAGTTTTCCACGCTGGTAGCTTTTAATTATGCCGCGATTCCATATTAATTGCAGATTTACCCAAAGCAAAAGGCTCCGTGCTTTGTCATGCAAATGCCATCCCATGAATCCTGCAGGGTGGGTTATCTTCGCCTTCAAACGCCGCACGTCCTCCCCGCTCCCCTCCCTGCCGGTGCCGCCCCGGCTGTGTCCGGAGGCGATGGAAAGCTGGCACCCGGCACCGAACAGCCCTGCTCTGGTGGGCTTTCCTCCCAGGAAGTCGCTTCCCAGGCAGGCACCAAACCAGCTGATTATAGGGCAAACGTTGCATTCAAATCTCTCAAACCAGAGCCAGGTGTCAGCATTGTGGCCATGAGCTGCTCCAGGGGCTGGAGACGTGCCATTCCATGTGGATGCAGCTGCGGATGAAGCTGGCACTGTGCTCCCGACTCCCTGTAACATGCTCCCGCCTGGACATGGTGCATTTGAGCAATCCAAGAGATGCATTTGTATCCATCCTCCCCTTTCCCAAACCCCAGGGCACTGTACAGGGCTGCATTTCACAGTATTACAGCTCCATTCTCCCATTTTCTTTCCTAAAGGTGGGGCTGGCACTCCTTAGGTTCTCTGGGATGGGCACTGAAGGGCATTTCTCCTCCATCCCAGGCTCTTTGCCAGTGGTCTCTGGCCCTGCAGCTCCTTTGGCTATGTGGAACAAATAGAATCTATGTCCCTGCTCTGTCCCCCTTCCAGTCCAGCCAGCACAGCTCTGGGATTGATCCCAGTTTATGCTTATGGGTTAATGGAGCTGAGACAGGGTTTTATGCTCCTTCCATCATGGAAATGGGAAGCTCATCATGACAAGAGTGTTCATGTGCTCCCTCTGACCTTTGTCATGGACTGGTTGTCCTTTCTGCTCTGCCAGCACAATCCTGCCCTCCCCATGTGTCCAGAAGGACCAGCTGATGCCCCAGAGCAATCCCATCATCAGCACCATGCCATGCCAGCCATTCCCAGTGGCTGTGGAATGCCATCCCCACACCACGTTCCCAAGGGACATTGTCTCCCTAGAGACTCCATCTCATCCTGGCACCTTCAACCTGCTCCTGCTGCTCCTGGCCATGCACAAACCACATTCTGGCATCTGAGGAGTTTTCCTGTCCCAGCCTGGCTTTTCCCTCCCAGTCCCAGCTGAGCTCCCCAGGCTTCCCAGCACCCTACAGGCAGGTGCCTCATGGCAGGTGTCCGCACGAGTGCTGGCATCCTGGGTTCCTGCCCTCACTCCTGCTCTGTGTCCCCAGGTGACCCCACTCCCAAGGCCATCGTGTCCCTCCACCTGCTGCTCCACACATGGCACGTGTACTCTGTGGGATGGGAGCCAGGGCTAGGGCTGAGCCATGTGCTGTGGCCACCCTGATCCTCTCGGGGTGAATGGGGCTCTTGTGTCCCTTGTGGGGTGTCAGCCAGCACTGCCCTGCACCCACCCCGGGCACTGCCCCTCATCACGTGCCCTGCACCCCATGCCTGGGGCACCCACGCCCTGTGCCCTCTGCCCTATGCCCAGGTGTGTGCCCTGCACCCTAAACCCAGGTAACCCGGGGCAACCACTCCCTGTACCCAGTCCTATAGCCTGGGCGGGCCGGGTTGGGCCATGCTGTGATGTACCGTCCCGTGCTGAGCTGTGCCATCCCGAACTGAGCTGTGATGTGCCATGCTGTGGCGTGCCATGCCAAGCTGTGCCATTCTGAGCCATGCAATACTGTACTGAGCAGTGCTGTGCCGTGCCACACTCTAACGAGCCATGCCACGCTGTACGGAGTGTGCCACACTGTACAGTGCCACGCGATACCATGTAGTGCCACACAGCACAGAGTCGTGCCATGGCATACCGAGCCGTGCCACAACCTACCAAGCTGTGCCATACATATCGAGCCGTGTCGTAACGTGCCCTGCCGCACTGTACCATACCGTATCGTACCGTACCGTACCACACCGAGCTTCACGCCGTCCCGATCCGCCCGTGCCCCCCGGCGCCGCCGCGGCCCCTCCCGACGGGTGCCCCCGGCGGTGCCGGCACCGGGTTGGTGGGTGTGGCCTGGGCGTTGGGCGGGGCCTCTCCCCGTGTCCCCGCCCCCCCCGCGCTCCCGGCGGTGCGGGACGGGCCGGGCCGATGGCGCGGGCGTGGCCGTGGCCGTTCGGGGGCGTGTCCCCGCGCGCCCCCGCCCCGTGTCCCCCGCCCGCCGCGCTCGGCGGTGCGGGATGGGGCGATGGCGCGGGCGGGCGCGGGGCCGCCGCGGGAGCTGTCCCTGGAGGAGGTGCTGAAGTGCTACGAGCAGCCGCTGAACGAGGAGCAGGCCTGGGCGCTCTGCTTCCAGGGCTGCCGCGCCGCCGCCGCCGCCCCCGTGGCCCCCGCGCCGCTCCGCACCGCCGACATCCGCCTCCGCGCCGACGGCTCCCTCCGCCTGCCCGCCCCGCCGCACGGTGAGGCCGCCGCTGCACGGGAGGGGCGGGAGCGGGCGGCGCCCGCGCGGGGGGGGACGGGACGGCACCCCCGAGCGGGGCTTACCGGGGCTTACCGGGGCTTACCGGGACTTACCGGGGCTTACGGGCACCGGGACTTGCTGGGGTTTACCGGGGCACCGGGACTTACAGACACTGGAGCGAGGCACCGAGGCTTGCCAGCACCAGGAGTTACCGGCACCGCGGGAGCCGGAGTTTACCACAGCTTACCGGAGCTTACCGGGACCCGGGGTTTAACGGCACTGGGGCTTACCAGGGTTTACCGGCACCAGGACTTATCGGCACCGAGAGCGAGGCACCGGCACCGGGACACAGGAGCTTCCTGGGCCTGGGACCCGGGCACCCGGACTTACTGGCACCGGGGCTTAGCAGGACCAGGGCCTGCCGGCACCAGGAACGGGGCACCGGCATCGGGGCTTACCAGCACCGGGGCTTACTGGTACCGGGAGTGAGGCACTGGGCTTACCGGCACCGAGACTTACAGGCACTGGGAATTACGGGCCCTGGGACCCGGGGCACTGGGTCTTACCAGCCTAAAGAGCGGGCACCTGAGACTTACCGGCACCGGGACTTACCGGCACCGGCAGGGGGTGCTGCACCGGCGTCGGGGACGCAGAGGGACGAGGGATATCGGCTGCGGGGGGGGCAACCGCAGCGGCCCTGGCGGGAGGGACCGGCGCCGGTGGAGAAGGACCTGTACTGCGAGCAACGGATAGGCAGGAGAAGCGACATCGCGGGGGGAGCAGGCACAGAGGCAACGGCCGCAGGGGAGCGGTGCAGAGAGGGCACTGGAGAAGCTGGGAGAGACTGTGAGGATGGAGAGAGGGACAGTACCAGCACCGGGGGGCAGGAAGGCGGCAGAGGCGGGGACAGGGATGAGCCCCAAGCCTTGGCCCCGGCGGTGGGGACTGGCACCGGCACTGCAGGGATTGGCAGGGAAGATGGGCTGATGAATTCAGGGTCCAGGGCTGGTGTGGCACCGACACTGACACCGGCAGGGCCTCCCGGCTAACCCAGTGAGGCTGGACCTGGATGTAGGGGTGTGCGTGGTCCTGGCATCCACCGTGAGGCTGCAGGACACACACGGCAAGGACAGACAGACACGGGGACACCCACAGGGACATCCATGGGTCATCCACACCTGCACATGCAGGGCACTTCGTCCTGCCCCAGCCCCCTGTGCGTGGCACATGGGACAGCCCCATCTCCGACCTTCAGCCTCCCAGCCATCTCTCCGTGGGAGACTGGCACTGCCAGCCACAGCTGTGACGGTTCTGGGGTGTCACTAGGCTGGGCCAGCTGCCAGCGGTGACACTGGGAGGCTCCAGGAGCACCTGGAGTGCAGCCAATGCTCCACCTGTCTCATCCAACGGCAAGGCCACAGGGGCCGGTGCTGTGGGGTCACCGAATGGCCTTGATGCCGGTGGCCGGGCAGACGCCAGGGCGTGTTGGGCATCTCCATGCCCAAGGCAGGGACACACACGGGCACGGCACGTGCCTGTGGCATCTGGGCATGGCGTGGTCACACCGGCTCTACTGGTCCTGCTTGGGAATGGCCCCACACCCTGCCCTGAGCCACTGTGGGGCTGGAGCTGGTGTCACTTGCCAGTGCCACCATGCCAGTGATACTGTGCCAGTGGCACCGTGCTGCCTCCTCCTACCAGGTCACTTCTGTGCCAACCTGAGCCATCTCCCCAGAGATGAATCAGGCCTCTTCACAGTGAAGCCTGAGGCTGGAAGGGCTCTGGGTGCCTCTGGGCACTGCTGCAGGTGGTGGTAACATCCTGGCACGTGGCTTGGCAGCTCTGCCTGGGCATGGGGCTGGATCCACGCTGAGTGAGCCAACAGCACCCTCTGGAGCCACTCCAGTCCCCTATCCCATGGGAACTCCCTCCTTAGCTGTATCCCAGTGGCTGGAGGGAGCTGCTGGGACCTACTGGGCTCATCCTGCTGGCCAGGCACCAACTGCAGGGCAATGATGGCATCCCAGGGCTGGCACTGCAGTGGGAACTGGGCATGGCTGGGGCAGATGGGTTGGTAATGGGTTTGTGTGTGGCACTGTGACCACCACTGGAGCTGCCCTTGCAGTCCGTTCCTGGCTGGCACACGACTGGCATATCCTTGCAGCTGCCGCATTGATTAGCTCAATGCAGAGCTAATGGTCGGGAAGTGGAGCTGGAAGCCCTGGGGACACTGCAGAGACCACTCATGTTCCTTGTCCTGCGGCTGCCAGGAGAGTTTGAGCTGCCCACAAGCATGTCCTGGGCTCTATGTGTGCGTGTGTGTGTGCCATGCTCCAGTTGTGGCTGCCAGTCCCCACACTGCCAGTGCTCACAGTGCGGTACCCACACTGCTGGTGCTCATGATGTCAGTGCCCACACTGCCACTGCCCACACTGCCGGTGCTCACACTCCTGGTGCCCACACTCCTAGTACCCACACTCCTGGTGCCCACAGCCCAAAGGGATGCAGGGGCATTTCCCCATGGTTGCAGAGCTCTCAGCTCCCTCCAGCCCTGGAGGTGAGTGATAAAGGAATGCCTGTGCCCCCCTTATGTGCCCCCTGGAGGCTGCGCTGCCACTGCCTGATGCCAGGGCTCAATGTGCTGGTGCCCACTGCCCCATGGAGCCGTGCCCTGGGTCCAGGACAGGATGGGAGCAGCCAGGAACGGGAGTCTCAGGTTGGCGTAGAAACTGCTGGGGGTGGGACCTGCTCAGGGTGGATACCTCACAGCCGAGCTGGGTGGGTACCACATCCCCAGGTGATGTGGGGTGGGATGCCCAGTGCGGGGCTGTGGGTGCAAGTTGTGACTCTTCCCTCCTCCCCTAGACCTCCCCGCGCTGCTGACGCCCTCCGCCGAAGCCCAGGTATGCAGGGGCCAATGACTGGCCCCATCTGCCATCACACGCCAGTGTGGGGTGGGCGCTGCCACCTGGTCCCCTCGCCCATGGGTCCTGGGATGGGACCCAGCGCTGATGGGTGGGGGGGTAGCTGGTGCCAGGGTACATCCGATGCCCAGCCCATGCCATGTCCTGCAGATGGTGCAGTCGCTGGGCTTCGCCGTGTACCGGGCACTGGACTGGGGGCTGGATGAGAACGAGGAGCGGGAGCTGAGTCCACGCCTGGAGCAGCTCATTGACCTGATGACCAACAGCGACTCAGAGGACAGCGGCTGTGCCACAGCTGACGAGGGCTATGGGGGGCAGGAGGAGGAGGAGGAAGGGGGCGAGGGACCGCCACGCACTGTGCGCACCTTCGGGCAGGCCATGCGGTGCTGTGCTGCCCGCTTGGCCGACCCCGCCGGCGCCCCGGCGCACTACCAGGCTGTGTGCCGCGCGCTCTTTGCTGAGACTGTGGAGCTCATGGCCTTCCTCGCCAAGATCCGTGATGCCAAGGAGGTGAGTGTGGGTGCCCACTGGCACTGCTACCTAGCCAGGGAAGCCAGCTGGTGCCCTCTCTGCCCATCCCACCAGGGCTGCTGGTGCCGGCGTTTAGCCATAACATCTCCCAGAGTGCTGTGCCAGCTGGGAATGTGGGTGTTTTTGGGTGTACCTCAGTGCTGCAGCCCCATGACATGGTTTCAGTTGGACCCTCAGTGCCACCAGGGCAGGGTGACAGTATCTTGTACCACAACAGCTGCTGCAGAAGCTGAAGGAGGATGAGGAAGAGGAGGAGCGGCCGGCGGCGGAGCTGGGCAGCCTGCGCAACACCGACTGGGTACAGTGGCACGTTGGGGCATGGGGGCCATGATGGGTGGGTGGGTGCTGACGCTGTGTCCATGTGACCCCCCAGGCCCGGCTGTGGGTACAGCTGATGCGAGAGCTGCGGCATGGTGTGAAGCTGAAGAAGGTGCAGGAGAAGCAGTTCAACCCGCTGCCCACTGAGTACCAGCTCACGCCCTTCGAGATGCTCATGCAGGACATCCGTGCCCGCAACTACAAACTCCGCAAGGTCATGGTGAGCGCAGCCACGGTGCCAGCCCCTCACCCTCCATCCTGCCATGCCCCAGCCTGGCACTGACCCCCTGCCCTCCCCAGGTGGATGGAGACATCCCTCCACGGGTGAAGAAGGATGCCCACGAGCTCATCCTCGACTTCATCCGCTCCCGGCCCCCTCTGAAGCAGGTGAGCACTGGCACTGGGACATCTCCCTGGCATGGTGCCATGCCTACCCTGGGAGTGCCATCCCTGAGCCATGGCTACCACTCGAGGTCCTGTCCACACATCCCACAGGCATCAGAGCGACGGCTGCGGCCCCTGCCCCAAAAGCAGAGGACGCTCCATGAGAAGATCCTGGAGGAGATCAGGCAGGAGCGGAAGCTCCGGCCTGTGGAGCAGAAAGGTACCAGTGTCCCCTCCCTGCTGTGATGCGCCAGCTCTGTGCCCATCCCCATGGTGCTGAGCCTGTCCCTCTGCAGGGTACAGCTCCCTGCCCTGCATCCCACATGCCTGTGCTGGCCGCCTGGCCTCCAACTCCTGCCTCGAGCTCTCTCGGTGCCCGGCCAGTGCCATGCCCACACGCCCACGGCCACGCGTCCTCCTCAAGGCACCCACCCTGGCCGAGATGGAGGAGATGAACCTCTCAGAGGCAAGGGGGGACCCTGGAGGTGGGGGGACATGGGGGGTGCCAGGTCCCTGGGGTGATGTGGTGCCCATGGCCTTGCAGGATGAGGACTCTCCAGGCACAGAGGTGCCGCTGAAGCGGGATCGCTCCTTCTCAGAGCAGGACCTGGCACAGCTGCAGAGCCAGCTGGGGGGTGACCAGGCTGCACCCCAGGACCTGGAGCCACTGCAGCCCGAGTCCCGGCCCCGCTCAGGTACTGCTGGAGGTCTCCATGTCCCCATCCCCAGGGGGCTGTGCCATGCCCTGTGTCAGTGGTGGCACCAGGTAACATGGCCTCACCATGACCTCCCTGTCCCTCCTCATAGGCTCTGTCCCTGCCAGCTGTCACCAGCTGCCAGATGGGCCAGCACCGCCCCGGGCTGCCCTCGGCGCCGTGGAGGAGAGACCGGAGGACGGATCCAGCGCTGCCCCCACCACCAGCTCCAAGCACCTCTGGCTGGTGGGTTCTAGGGACACCGGGGCTGGGGACACCAGGGCTGGGGACACCAGGCAAGCGTGACTGTGGGCACATGGCTCCCTCTGCCACAGCTCATGGTGACATCCCCCTGTCCTGCAGGAGTTCAGCCACCCCGTGGAGAGCCTGGCCCTGACCGTGGAGGAGATGATCAATGTCCGCAGGGTGCTGGTCAAGGCTGAGATGGAGAAGTTCCTGCAGAGCAAGGAGCTGTACAGCAGCCTGCGGAGAGGGAAGGTGGGAATGGGGCCAGGGAGCCAGAAGGGTTGGTGGAGGTGTACCCCCGCCCAACCCCAACTCACCCCACTCTGCCTGCAGGTTTGCTGCTGCTGCAGGGCCAAGTTCCCCCTCTTCTCCTGGCCCGCAGCCTGTCTCTTCTGCAAGCGGTGAGCACTGTGCTGTTCCATGTCACGGGGCTGGGAGGGTGGCAGGAGGGTCCCTGTGATGGCCCCACTATCACACCTCTCTCTGTGTCCCCAGGTCTGTCTGTAGCTCCTGCAGCCTGAAGGTAAGGGACTGGCCCTGGGCAGTGTCACTGTGTCCCAGTCCTGCCTTGCCCCATTTTGTTCTTGTCTTGTCTCTGTTCTCCCTTGTCCCTACCCCATCCCATCCCATCCCTGTCCTGCATCCTCCCTATCTGTCCTTCCCTATCTCTGCCCCATCCCGTCCCTGTCCTGCCTTGTCCCTGTATGTGTCCTGTTATTTCTCTGATCCATCCTGTCCCTGTCCTGCCCCATCTCATCCTTGCCCCTGTCCCACTCCATCCGTATCCCTGCCCCTGCCCAGTCCCTATCCCTACCCCGCCCTATCCCAACCGTGTCCCATCCCACCCCTGTCCCCGTCCCATCCCGTCCTGACTCCCACATCCCGGCAGATGAAGATGCCTTCCAAGAAGCTGGCTCACATTCCCGTCTACGCGCTGGGCTTCGAGAGCCTCCCGGGCTCGCTGCTGCCCAAGGCGCTGCCGCTGCGCCGGAGGGAGCCCTTCCAGTGAGTCCTTGAGCCTTCCTCCCCATTCCTCCCCCCTCCTCCTCCTCCTGCTCCCGCTGGGTGCCGACGGAGTGCTTTGTGTCGCAGTTCGCTGTCGGGGCCGTGCTGGCGCCGGGTGGAGGAGGAATTCCCGCACATCTACGCCCAGGGCTCGGTGCTGCGGGACGTGTGCCCCGACTGTGCCGGGTTCGTGAAGGACGTGGTGAGCTCCAGCCGGCGCAGCGTGGCCGTGCTCAACGCCAGCGCCGCGCCCCGGCGCCACGCCAAGGCCCGCTCCCTCTACAGCGACGCCTGGCTCCAGTGAGGGGCCCGACGCCCCAGTGATGGGCACCACCGGGGTGCCCCCCCGCTGTACATATATACATAGGATGGATACACACAGCCTCTATATTTATATACGTTATGGACCAGGGACAAAAGGACCCGTTCCTGCCATCCCCTTCCATCCCTGCCACCAGCCCCTGGGGGCACAAGTCCTGCCATGGGGCACCAGCAGCTCCTGAGGGCATGGATCCCACCTTGGGGTACCCACAGACCCGAGGGGATGGATTCCACCGTCGCACAGCCCCTGAGGGGGTGGATCCAGCTGTGGGGTACCCACAGCCTCCAGTGAAACGGATCCAGCTGTGGGACACCTCCAGCGTCCGGGGGGAAGGATCCCACCGTGGGGCAGCTCCTGGGAGAACAGGTCCTGCTGCAGAGCGCCCACATCCCCGGAGGCGATGGATCCCACCATGGACCACCGTTAGCCCCCAGATGGATGGATCCCGCTGTGGGACACCCGCAGCCCCCCGGGGGCACAGATCGCACCGTGGGGCAGCTCCTGGGGGAACGGATCCCACGGTGGGGCACCTGCAGCCCCCTGTGTTGGCTTCCCCCAGCTCTGCTTCTGTGCCAAGCCCTGGCTGTGCCGGGGTGCCCGGTGCCCTGGGCTGGCACAGCTGCTCTGTATGTCTCCTCTCCGATAATAAACCCGCTGGGCTACCCCGGGGCCCCGTGGCTGGTCCTGAGTGGATGGTTGGGAGGGAGAGCAGGGTGCTGGGAAATGTGAGGGGGCCGGGGACCACCACCCCCTGCACTCCACTCCAGTCCATCGCTCACATCCCCCCTCGCCATCCTTCCTGTCCACTCCCACGGCAGTGCCCACCGGCAACCCTGCACAGGACCGTGGGAACATTCTGCTTCCCATTCCCATGCGCATTCTCACCGCCCTCAGCCTGTCTCCCCGGCCCATCCCCGAGTCTCCCCCGTGCCCCGAGGTCATCACCCCGCACCGGTCCCGTGGCAAACACCCCGTTCCCACGCCCCCCCCGGGACATATTTCACGCGGGGGGCGCCACAGAGGTCGCGGGGGGCGTGGCGTGGCCCAGCCAGTGGGCGCGCGCGGTGTGGGGTGGGCGGGGCCGGCGCGGGCGCGCAGGCGCTGCGCGGTGCGGGGCGCAGGCGCGGAGCCGGCGGGGGCGATGTCGCGGCGGGCCCTGCGGCGGCTGCGGGGGGAGCAGCGGGGCCAGGAGGGGCCGGGGTTGGGCCAGCTCGGCATCGACCCCGGCTCCGAGCGAGCCCGAGAGGCGGGGCCGCCGCCGCCACCCGGCAGCCGGCCCCGCGCCACCGTCAGCAACCGCTTCGAGCTGGTGAGGGGGGGCAGAGCCGGCGGGTGGCGGGGCCTGAGGGGGCGCGAGGGTGAGCGGTTGGGGGGCGGTGACTGGGGTGGCAGCTGGGACGTGAAAGTCACTGGGGGCACAAGTGGGACGACAGTGACTGTGGGAGCGACTGGGGGAACAGTGGCTTTGGGGGCAGCTGGGCTGGGCACTCATGGGGGGGCCGGTGACCGTGAGGGGGTCACCTAAGGAGAGTGGCTGGGGGGGTTACGGGTGTCTGGGGGGATCAGGAGGGCTGGGGGTGACAGTGAATGTGGCAGAGGTGACGGTGGGAGGCAGTGATTTGGAGTCAGTGACTGGGGTGGGACTGAGTGGTTTGGGTGGTGGGTGGGAGGGGTGGGGAGGTGCAGCTAGGGCTGAACTTGGAGGAAATGGGAAGGAGGCCTGGGTTTGGATGTTGTCAGAGCTGGGACTTGGAAACTGTTTTTAGGAACATTCCTGCCACCATCCTGCTCTGCAGGAGCACAGTGCTGAAGGCTGGGAGTCGGGTGTCCCTGGTGGTACTGCCAGTTCTTTGGGGTGACAGAGCCTGGTCCTGCTCTCCAGACGCCTCATCCAGCCCTGTCCTTTCCCAAGGCCTGGCTGTGGGAGCATAGGCAGGGCTGGGTTTGGAAGCTCTTCCCAAGGAAGAGCAGAGTCCAGACAGGGCTGTGGTGTGAGAGGACACATCGTGGTGTCCCTGTGCCCCCCTCCATGGGCTTGGGGCTATCCAGGCACCTGCTGGGTGACACACTTGACATGAGGGGTCATCCCCATCTGTTTGCAGGTGGAGTGGTAGATCAGATCCCTGGGGAATTCCATCCCTGCACTGTCCCTGCACCTTGTCCCTCTGTTTGCAGATCCCTGCCGAGGAGTCGGAGGATGAGCCGGTCACTGGAGAGGAGCAAGTGGACACCCGGCTCAGCGAGCAGGACACAGCAGGAGGGAATAAGGAGGGGAACAAGGAGAGGAACAAGGAAGGGGCTGTGGCTGAGGACACGGACGATGGGCAGAGAGAGGGGGAGGAGGCCGAACAGCCGGACCAAATGGTAACTGCCACAGGGACACAGGAACAGGGCAGGGACACACACAGGGAGCTCAAACCCAGGAACTCGGGGCTCTCAGGGAGGACCAGCAGTTTGGTGCTGAGTGCTGGATTTGTGTGTGGGATCCGGGGAGATTTTTCAGCTGCAGAGAGGAGGCTCCCAAGGAAGACCCTGTGCCACGCAAGAGCTGAGGCTGGGCAGGGGCTGGGAATGGTCTCAGGGAAGCATTTGTTTTGGAATAGGGGATGTGGAGGCTCCAAGCAGTGTCAACTAAGCACTGAATGCGCTTTTCCTCATTGTGATTTATTGTCGTTTGGTGTCAAGATTCGCTCCTGTGGTTTGTATCAGCTCACAAGTGTCTCCTTGCAGGATTTTGTAAGGAAAGGGACGTTTAACTAACAATTTTCCATGGCAGGTTTGGCTTGGATCTCACAGAGATGAGGGTTGGAGGAGCAAAGCAGGGTTGGCCCCCTGGCCTCACCTGTTTACTATGCATTTGGGTTGTGTGCCCATGGGTTCTGGGCAAAGTCCACTATCTGTGCATGTCCCAGCTGTGCCAGTGGCTGGGACTGCTCTGGACAGTGGGTCCCTGTGTAAGCAGTGGCTCCAGGGGCCCTGACCCAGTGAGTTTGCTGTGTCAGCACCCCAGGACACACCTGTGGCTTCTCCCTGAGCTCCATGGGAGCCCTGGGCAGGCGGATACTGCTCTTGAGTAGAGCCAGACTGGGGCTGCACCTTCCCTCGGTTCTGGAACCAGTGTGGCGTGGTTCTGGTAACACCATTACTTGATAGGACAAGGGGAAATGGCTTCCCACTGCTGGAGGGCAGGGTTAGGTGAAATACTGGGAAGAAATTCTTGGCTGTGAGAGTGGGGAGGCCTTGGCACAGGTTGCCCAGAGAAGCTGTGACTGCCCCATCCCTGGAAATGTCCAAGGCCAGGTTGGACGGGGCTTGGAGCAACCTGGTCTAGTGGAAGGTGTCCCTGCCCATGGCAGGGTGTGGGAATGGATAAACGTTGAAGTGCCTTCTGCCCCAAAGCATTCCACAATTCTATGATTCCTTGCTGTATTATTTGCTAAATCCTGGAAATGTGTTTTCCAGCTGTGTACACCCCAAGGAAGAACCAGCATGGGCAGTGGTGTGCCTGTCACTTTAGGGAATGCCACAGAGCATCCTGAGCTGAAGCAGCTGCAATTGCAGGGAGAGGAGCTGTATTTTGCTGGGGCCTTGTGGCAGGTGTTGGTTTCTGTAGAAATGGGAATGACCATTGAAACTGGAAACTGTCCCACTCACTACAAAGACAGAAATCCAGCTTGTTCTGGAGACTGAAGGAGGCTGAAGCATTTCCTCCACACCTGGCACAGCTAAACTTCTGTCTTTCCTGGTTTTGTAGCCTCAGACATTGATCTGAAAGTCAGCTGAGATTTAACCCTTTGGGAAACTCTGGTGCTTTCATCTATTTTCTCCTTGTGTCTTAATTTCCACTCTCTGACAAACAGGAAATGATGAATTTTGATTTTGTTTAAGGGCCCTTGGTGTGCTGATCCCAGTGGGAAATGCTCTTCTTGCCATGGAGCTGACACCCCTGAGAGCATGCTGACAGCTCTTCCCTTTGTCTTTGCAGCCTGCATCGAGTAACAAGCCAAGGAAGAAAAAAAAGAAAAGGAAAACCAAGAAAACTTCAGCAGGAGACACTGTGGTATGTCTGTGTGAGCTCTGAGTCAGGAATCAGGCTGATTCCTCCAATGTGGCTGACAAAGTGGGAATTCTGGGGTGGCTGCAGGAAAGATTTGAGGCAAAAAAGCCATTTCAAAATATAAATTTAAAGAAGCATTTTTGGAATCCTGGAATCCTGGAATGGTTTGAGTGGGAAGGGACCTTAAAGTTCATCTCATTCCACCCCCAGCGATGAGTAGGGACACCTTCCACTAGACCAGGTTGCTCCAAGTCCCGTCCAGCCTGGCCTTGGACACTTCCAGGGATGGGGCAGCCACAGCTTCTCTGGGCAACCTGTGCCAGGGCCTCACCACCCTCACAGCCAAGAATTTCTTCCCAATATCCCACTTAACCCTGCCCTCTGGCAGCGGGAAGCCATTGCCCCTTGTCTTGTCACTCCAGGCCCTTGTCCAAAGTCCCTCTCCAGCTCTCTTGGAGCCCCTTTAGGCACTGGAAGGGGCTCTAAGGTCTCCCTGGAGCCTTCTCTTCTCCAGGCCAAACACCCCTGGCTCTCCCAGCCTGGCTCCAGTCCTTGGAGCATCTCTGTGGCCTCCTCTGGACTTGCTCCAGCAGCTCTATTGGGGAGCCCAGAGCTGGAAGCAGCAGATGGATAAAAGCCATTGATCTTCTAAATTCAATAGGAATGAGATTCAGGTGGGAGCTGGTTGTCTGGTCAGGTTTGAGTCTGAAATGTCCATAGAATCACAGAATCATTAGGTTGGAAAAGACCTCCAAGATCATCGAATCCAACTTCCCTGTTCAGTCCAGGGAGATCCTTTACTAAACATCCTGAGCCACCGGATGCTGAGATGCTGAATGGCTGGGCCACGACACCGGTGCAGGTGCCCAGCTGGCCACCTCTTCCCTGGGAATTCCACTCAGGAGTGAGCTCCTGAGGTGGAGAACCAAGTGAAGAGGCCATTTCCTCTCCCAGTCCAAGAATATCAAGCAGCAGGGAAGAGACCCAGACCCAGGCAGTTGAGTTTGCCAACCGGAGATAATACAACCTCTGTTCCAGCACTTCCATACAGAGCACGTTATCCCTTCCCTGTATACACTCCACGCGCAGGGGCTAAATTTAGTTGGAAAAGGCAAGCTGGCAATGCTGCTTGGGTTTCCTGAATGGAATTCTGTGTTCCACCCACGGACATCATCAGGAGGATGTGAAACAGGCACGTAAGAAATGTGTCACTTGCTGTTTGTGGGGGGAAAATAGAGGGAAATCAGGGTAAAAGTGTTATACAACTGCTGGATGTGAGCAGCTGCATGGATTCCTGGAGTGGTTGGAAGATGGGGAATGTGACAGTTGGATTAAAGTCATGTGAGCGTTTGAGACCTTATCACGGGGGTCACAGCAGTAACTCGGGGCTTCCCTGGAAACTAAATGGTGAAGGCTGGTTATTTAAGTAAGGTATTTTTGGACAAGGGCATGGAGTGACAGGACAAGGGAAAAAGAGACCACTCTGAGAGGAAAGGGTTAGATGGGTTACTAGGGAGAAGTTTTTCCCTGTGAGGGTGGTGAGGCCCTGGCTCAGGTTGCCCAGAGAAGCTGTGGCTGCCCCATCCCTGGAAGTGTTCAAGGCCAG